CCTAAAGCCAATAAGGTAGTGAGGGAAGAGATCATTGTGCTCTATGTAGTCCGCGATTCGGTTCTGGACAACGTGTTCCACCACCTTTCCCACGCATGACGTGAGAGAGATGGGGCGCAGATTGTCCAAACTTGGTGCTTTACCGGGCTTGGGAATGAGGATCACCTTGGCCAACTTCCATTGTTCCGGGATGTCACCTCCCTTCCAAATCCTATTAATCTCATCAGTAAGAAATTCAACAGAGTCATCTTCCAAATTCCGAAGCGCTTTGTTGGTGACCCTATCTGGACCCGGCGCCGATCGGCCATTGAGTTCGTGCAGGGCACGTCGCACATCGCTGATGGTGAAGGGTTCATCCAAATGGGCACAAGGTGTTCCCATATACCCCGGATAGGCTTGCATGGAATCAACTGCTAGCGGTAGATACTTCTCAGCAAGCTGCCCCAATAGCTCCGCGCCCGAGGAGGATTTTTGAGCAAGATGAAGTATTCTAGCAAGGACCCCCCTCTGATTAGATTTAGTGCCCGACTCGTCAAGCAAGTGTTTTAAAAGATTCCATTTACCTCTGGTTCGCATTTGTCCATCGACTGAATTACAAATTTCATCCCACTGCTGCCTCGACAAGTTTTTGCAATGTTCTTCAATTTGTGTATTTAACTCTGCTATCTTTTTCCGAAGCCTACGATTAAGTCTCTGACCCTTCCATCTGGCCAATAGCGACTGCTTTGCCTCCAGTAAATGCGCAAGCCGACTGTCCATTTTGTTTGTCTGTACCTCTGTCTCAATGGTTTTGGTAACCGCTCTAACGTCCTGCAGCAGCATCTCTGTCCATTGCCCCAGAGAGTCCGGGATTTCCCCCTGTTCCGCTCGAGCGCTGCGTGACTCCCGAAATTTATCCCAATCCACGTAAGTAAACTTTCTTTTAGATTTTGCCTCCATCTGTAATTTAGTAACTGTAATATAATGATCACTTCCTAAATCCGTCAGAAGATTTTCCCAACCTACCGAGCCAGCATTTTTCACGAAAGCTAGGTCCGGGGTGGAGTCCCTGGTGGTGGATGTGCCGCGCCTAGTAGGAAACATCGGGTCCGTAATTAACGAGAGATCCGCATCTCCCGTCTCCTGCCACAAGCTCCTGCCTTTAGCTGAATCATACGGGTAGTTCCACGCCCGGAAAGGCGAGTTAAAATCCCCCGCCACAACCAGAGGAGAGAGCCCAGCCAATCTGGTTGCCTTAGCTATGATCGTCCTAAAACGCTGCCTATGATCACTAGGGCTACTATATATGTTCAGTATAAAAATGCTGGAAAGGTTGGAAGAACTCGGAATGACCTCAACTAAGGAGAGCTCCGTTTTATTAGGTCTTACCCCTAGATCATGTGTCACAAAGGTGAACTTGTTGCTGACTAACGTGGCAATCCCTCTGCCTTCCCCTTTAACTGCATGTGCCTTGTACCCCGGGAGGGTTACACTATCAGACAGCGTCTCCTGCAGTAGGATCACTTGCGGCTTCTCGCTGTGAGAGCGGACAAATTGCTGCAGGGTGCCCCTTTTGCTAAGGATCCCCCTGCAGTTCCATTGCCATATACGAAATTCAGCGTGCGAGGCCATCTTGATCATTGGAGGTGCTCCCTGACCCTGCCGTCAGGTTCTGTACAGAAGCAACTGTACTATTCGAACTGGGGATACTCATGGGAATGGGCGCCGATAAAGGCGTTCCCTCTGGAAAGAAATCCGGGTGAATCCGAGCTGCTCCCCTGATATTGGGGCTCTGCACCATAAGGCCGGCGTTCTGTAATTGATTCTCCACACATTGAATTCTGGCATGTTGAATATCTATTTTCTGATCCATAACTGTGAGACGTTGATCGACCGCCGAGAAACGCTCATTAAGTTTGTGAATCTCAAGGCAAATTGAATTTAGAGTCTCCTTAATTTCAGATTTAGCTCTAGCCTGCACATTCTCGGCTGAAGTCGCAGCCTTACGCTTGGCTGGGTTACCCGAGGGGCCCGCTTCCACGACCATGGGAACCTCCATGGGTTGAGGAGAGGGAGAACCTACACACGGAGAAGCAGATGCCAGAGTAGCTTGAGATGTACTGACACGTCTAAGCTCAGCCATTTCGGCTCTCAGCGACTCAATAATGCTGCGCATTTCGGCATTCTCCTTCCTAAGCTGATTTAGCTCCGCTAGACCATGCTCTGGCGCAGTGCCTCCCGTTACCTTTTCATCTCTTCCGCTGCGCACCCGGTCAGCCCAGGAGCCACCCTGCATCTCCGGTTGGGGTGGGCTTTGGAAACGGACTGTGCCATGCGGGTCCCTGGACTGGCTCCTCGAGTGCGATGGGCCTCTGGATTGGGACCGACGACGATCTCTGGACCGGGACTTGGCTCGGCCTTTAGACGAAGTTCCCTTTCGCTGGCCTTGGGAGCGACTTCTGGACCGAGATCTGGATCTGGACCGACTGCTTGCCTGTTGCGATGAGTCACGGCTGTCCACCCCAGTTGCAGCAGAACGACTGTTTGAGCTGGAGTTGCGGTGTGCAGGCTGGCTCACACCCTCGTCGGCGTTAGCAGGTACCGTTTGCTGACTACGACGCTCTGATTCCGCACGGCGCTCTCTTCGCCGCCTTCGCACAATAAATGGAAGCTGAAACCTTTGCTGGCAACTTTTATCCGTCGTGGCGTGTGGGCCGCCACAGAATCCACAGGTCGGGGAACATTGATGGTTCTCATCAGGGTTGTTGATTCCGCACCTCTTGCACACAGCTTCGTCCGGTGTCGGACAGACGTCCGCCCTGTGCCCGAGTCTGCCACAGGCATAGCAGCAGTCATGCTGCCGATGGTAAAGCGAGCATCTGACCAGCGCTGTGCCGAAATAAATGAAGTTGGGAACTTTGTAGCCATCGAAGACAATAACCACCGTCTCAGTGTTCTTAATACGTCTGACTCCCAGAGCCGTGGGGTTTCTTTCAGTAAGGATGCTCCTCTCCAGCTCCGTCTGGCTCTCCGATGCGTCAATCTTACGGATGACCCCCTTGCAGGTCTCATGCGGGGCAGCCTCGTAAGTGTTGATGTCATACTTCTTCATTCCCAATGTAAGGCAGCTCATCCTGAGGTAAGAGTCAGCGTTCGCACGGGACGCCGTGCTAATAACTATGATATTTTGCGTTGCATTCGGGCAGACAATGTCCTGACTAATGAGCGTGGGTACAATTCCAGCCGCCTCTGCGATTGCCCGGCCAAGTCTAGCTGAGCCCGCCTTCTCAACATCCAAGCCACCCCTTGGACGGACGATAATCTTCCAGTGCTCGCTAGGCAGTCGAGGCATTCTCGATGATTTGATAACTTGATTCTTCAAGTGTAGAGCTTTTCTTGTAGCACTGAAATTGCCCCTGGCATTCTCGCCGCATGCCGTGGCACGCTCTGTAGCACTGGCGTTCGTGCGCCTCGAGCTTTTCTTCACCGCGGCGGAACGCCAGCCGTGTTCCTCTCCGAACTCTTCCGGAGGGAGTTCATCACCGTCCATAATAACAGCAGCACCGTCCAGCATATTGGCTCAGCAGGTGGAACGAAGGGCGCGTCCATGGAAGGGCGCGTCCTGCCCGGCAGACGCCAACTCGGCGTTTGGTAAGCACGCGAGGCGTAGTCGGTGGCGTAAAAGTCCGAAAAATGCTCAAAAATGAACCTACCGGTGAAAGTCCGCTACCGACGTGAACCTTGGCAGCTTATGAGTTGACTCGTAGCAAGATCTTGAGGCACAGCACACGAAAAACCACAAAAATCATTTGCTGAAGCGGGAGCCCAAAGACCCCGGACTGCTCCGTTCTGCGCCACCTGGCGTTCCTCCCTTTTGGGCAGTCACAGTCACCATTCGGCCCGCCGCAAGGCCCGTGCAAAAGCTCTCCACAAATCTCGCTCGTCGCTGTCGCGTGCATTTTCGCGCTTATGAGGTTTGGCCCTCACAGCTGCTGCTCGAGCGACGCTCGAGCAGCAACTCATTTTTTACTCGGTTCCACAGCATGCAATAAAACCGTATTCAATTTAATTTACCCTTGTAAACTAAAGCGATTTATTCATTTACGCGTTCTAAAGCAATACAGCAATTGTGAGAGATGCCTTCATATGACGGCTGCGAAATGATTTTGACCTATATACTGGGTTATTTTTCTAGCATGCCGCATAAGCGGGTAGAATTCGACAAGTTACGACTTTCTTGGCGTGTTCAAGTGCTTTTATCTCAAAGCATTTCAGCTAATTGCTCCACGTGCCCACATTTCTCGAATTGTGAAATGCTAACTATTTTTTCGAATTAAAGTTGTCCGCTCCGCCACGGTGGCCTGGTGGCTAAGGTACTCGGCTGCTGACCCGAAGGTCGCGGGATCGAATCCCGACTGCGGCGGCTGAGTTTCCGATGGAGGCGGTAATGTTGCTCGTTAAAGAACCCTTGGTGGTCAAAATTTCTGTAGCCCTCCACTACGGCGTCTCTCATAATCATATGGTGGTTTTTGGACGTTGAATCCCACATATCAATCAACTAAAGTTGATTGACACCAGCACGAGTGAGGCGTCTCTACAAAAAATTGGCAGATCCCGCGTACAGTGGGGATCGCTGATATGCGAAGCACAAATGAGAAAGGTTGATATGAGACTTGAAAATCAGCACAAAGTTACAAGGTAGGGGTAAAAATGATCCCGTACATGACTTCCACGTTATGCTTATCATCTTTGGATCTATCTATCTATCTATCTATCTATCTATCTATCTATCTATCTATCTATCTATCTATCTATCTATCTGTCTATCTATCTATCTATCTATCTATCTATCTATCTATCTATCTATCTATCTATCTATCTATCTATCTATCTATCTATCTATCTATCTATCTATCTATCTATCTATCTATCTATCTGTCTATCCGTCTGTCCGTCTGTCCGTGTCTGTCCGTCCGTCTGTCTGTCTGTCTGAATTTCTCAACCACTCGTATTCGCTGCAGGGTCATGAAGATCATGGGGCGCCTTGCGCAGGCGTTGTTGTTCGTTGCCGTCTGGCTTCCAAGCTCAGACGCCGCCTGTCAGCTACCAGTACCGAAAGGACTCATACGTAAGTGGCTAATTTATTAATCATCTCACGACAATATGTGACGAAGCATGCAATAGATATACGTTTGCATCCTACTCTAAAAGAATGTTGTCTGAAAACGTGCGTAATTCATTTATTTGCACCTATTTGCACTCCACCTACATTGCCGTAGGGCCTTACGTAGGGGAAATACACGTAGATAATTTCACAACATAGTTTGCAATAGATAACACAGATACAACAAATACCACAATACACAGGATACGTTATAGGAAAACATAGAATAATGGTGAACTACACAAATTATAACAAAGTCACGGTCATACTTATAAACACCTAAACGCTTTGAGACAAACAAAATTCTTATTGGCAGTGCTACTGTGGGCGTTGCTACAGGAAAGAAAAAAAAGATTCATTATCAGTTTCATTAACGATATTATCTGGTGGACGGTACCATTCCTGTATTGTTTTTACAAAAAAAAAACGAACTACGAAAAGAGTATACGTTTTGTAGAGGTATTCTAATATTTTCTGTGAGTGGTCTTGTTGGTTTGAGACATAAGTTGGTGTGATCGAATTATCCAAGGGGTAATGAAATTTTTATTGTAATAAATACTATGATGAAATTTAAGCCCCCTTTTTTGCCTCCTTGCCACCGCTGGCTCCCATTTCAATATTTGTTTCATTTCTGTGACGCTTGCTAATAAACTTGCTAACAAATCTGGCTGCTTGGTTTCGAACTTTTTCCAGTCTGTCGATCAAGTATTGCTGATGGGTGTACCTCGTTACCCAAGCATATTCTAGAATTAGATCTAGTATCTAGTTTACAGATACGGTTGGTGAATGATACACAGCAACATTTACGGACGTTTAGACTCATTTTGTATTTCTGACACCAAGCTGATATTCTTCACAAATAATTTTGCGAAATTTCAGCATCCTTGTGCAATTTATTCTATCTAAACACTACACAATCATCAGCGAATTCCTTTACGGGAGAGGTAATACCACCAACTACACTATTAATATAAATTGGAAAGAGCAAAAGTCCTGATACGCTCCCTTGTGGTACACCGAACTTAATGGTTACTGCGGTTGATTTTGGGCCGTTAAGTACTGCGATGTGCTGCCGACCGTTTAAGTAGTCCTTTATTCAAATAATAACTATAAGGTTAATGTTTGCAGAGAGCATCGCAAATTACCTCAAGTTGTGTGGGACATTCTTGAAAGCTTTACGGAAATCAAGGAACACTGCATCTACTTGAGCGCAACTGTCTAAGGAGTGTTCAATGTAATGTTGAAATTCAACTAGCTGAGTTATGCATAAACGTCCATTTCTGAAGCCATGTTGAGATGGTGTGAGGAAGTTGACTGACTCCAGGTATTTACCTGTTTACCCGGACGTGATGCACTCATCATGCTTTCCAATGCCATACATGCTTCCCAGAGTTGTGGCTGGGCGAAATACCGGAGAAGCATAAGGCAACCATGCTGGTGGTTGCTCCTCCACGAATTGACACAAACAAAACAGTTATGTCAGTTATATCAGTTAAATAGCTATGTAACTTTTACATTTACACTGGGTGTTCTTTCTACTGGCAATAGAGGTGTTTTATTGAAGAAAAAAAATAATGATAGTGAGGCACCAGTTGTCTTCGCACGCTAAGTCCACGTCGAGGCGGAAAGGCTGTGCCACAGTTAAAATGAAGTTGACGCGACTAATAAACAATATCTTGATAAGTATTTAATTATTGACTTGAGAGCTGTTTATGTAGTTTTAGTGCGTGCATATTTATGGCACGATTATATTTAGAAACCACGAAGAAATTGCACATAGGCCGAGGTGTTCGTCAATAATTGCGAGGGCGAAATCGAAACTGTTGGCGCAAGGCACGCGCGAATCGCTATACCGTTCTTTTACGTTAGACCAGAACTACACCCGTCACAAGCGAGTGACAAAATTTGGACGAAGGCGCACCGTGGCGGCTGTGTACTTTCGTGAAAAAGCTGCAAATTGTCTCACTTGTTGTCACGAATCACCTAACTTTTGCGCGTAATGTCCAGCACTTATCCGTTTTTTTTTTAGAACTGTGCGCCAAAAATACGGCAATATCACGAATATGTTTTTTTTTCTTTTTCCGGGAAGCGCGATACTACGGGGCGCCCAATGCGGCGATTATTCACGCTCACAGGTAAAATAGTTTTTCGCGCTTCTCGACAGTTTAAGAAAGAAACAGATAACAACCACCAATCGCACCCAGACAGTTCTATTGATGCTTTTTTTTTTTCAGATTGCGTTCTGACCAAGACTGTGCATCGACGCGCTTTCACACAAACTTCATCTCGTTCCTGTCGTGTGTCGTTCTGGTGGATTAGTCCCGCCAATGACATTTCGAGTGCGGGAAAGTAACTTCGCCTCGACATAAAGTTCACGTGTTAGAACGACGGTAGCCCGATTGTCTTACAGTTTTTATGACAAAAAAATTTTATTGTCTAATTAAACGCCCTGCCTACATGCTTGTGCGTGCGAGTGTGTGCGTGTACGCATAGGCACGGGGAGGGAGCAGGGGGTGGTAGACGTCCCTCCCCCCTCTCCTGGTCACCCAAGTCGAGTGCGCTATGCATGCCCAATAGACTGACGTAAAAGGGAGGGGGGTGATGCTTTCAACCTTCGCCCCCGCAGAAGGGGAACTGTGTTCACGCCTATGCGTGTTCGTAGGTTTGTGTGTGTGCGCGCGAAGAATCATCGCCCACTCACACCGTACAACTGGTTGACCAGTTCTTCAATAGCTCTGCAATCCAGCCATTGTATCGTGTAGCCGGATGCTTGAGGAATTCCCCGTAGATAAGCTCGTGGTACTTATCACTAGCACTGTTCCCGATATCTCGCAGGAAGTTTCATGGTAAATTAACAAAGATTCTCTAGAACACCCACGATTCGGGGAGGTCTTGGGAGTGTGTGATTATACTTGCGAACATGCGATTCACTTTTCTCTTGTTCACCTTTGCAGAGACACCCTACCCGGACGTCAGAAAAGCTTTCAATATGGGCTACAAACTGACCGCTGAAGCCAACGTCATGCCCGACGTGAGTGAAGAGACATTGTGTTCAAGTATCCGCGCGTAAACGAACTGCGGGGAGAGAGAAGTGTGAAGCGATTGAGCGAACAAGCGACCGCAAGTCTGAGGCAGTGGTTCATGTAGAAACGTATGGAGATATTATGAACGGTAAAACCAACAACAGTCTCAGCTATAACAATTTATTGAATGGCAGCCTAAACAACTGAGAACCATCCCCAGAAGTTCGTCTTTTCTATCTATCTATCTATCTATCTATCTATCTATCTATCTATCTATCTATCTATCTATCTATCTATCTATCTATCTATCTATCTATCTATCTATCTATCTATCTATCTATCTATCTATCTATCTATCTATCTATCTATCTATCTATCTATCTATCTATCTATCTATCTATCTATCTATCTATCTATCTATCTATCTATCTATCTATCTATCTATCTATCTATCTATCTATCTATCCATAACCGCATCAAGCTTCTATCTTCCACTGAAACTTCTGTACTGTTTGGTCATTCAAATCCATTCAGGTAAACCAGTGGTTTGTCCACGTTTCTTCATTACTTGTAATTGGCATATGCAACTGTTTATCTGTCTTCGCATTACTGTTCTGGTTCTTTGTCCCGCGTGTTCTCTTTTTAGTCACGATGTTTGACGCTGAGAATTTAATACGAGCTCTTTTTACGTTGCCACTAAATACTTTTTTTTCCTGCTCTTACGTTGCAGAAAATCACGTATCACGCGACGGAGTACTACGACGTGCCGAACAAGCAAGGGTTCATAGACACTTACCTCAATGGCGAGCAGTACAACGTTTACTACAACCACCGCACCAACGAGGCATTCTTCTACTCTGGTGCGTATTCCTCGATTCCTGCGCGAATGCTCCAGTCTTCATGAACCCGTGTGCGAAAGTGTCTTCACTACACATCCGTTAACACTTGGAATTATGGTATTTGCTCCTTTTAGGTAGCATAACCACGCATCTGTTTTCCAATGCTGCTAGCAATCATTCACTGCGGAGAAGCTGATGCACGTGGTTCTCCTGGAAAACATGGCCGTACCATCGAAACCGATCGCCGTCCACCTGTAAACTATCAAGTGACTGTCGGGTGCTCTTTAGTCCGTTAGCCACGAACCGGCGTTCTTATTTTCTTCAGCTCCATGTCCTTAAGCTTTGACACCAACGTTATTGCGTGGATTCGGCACCATTAAAAATTGGCAAATCCCACGTACAGTGGGAATCGATGATATGCGAAGCACGAATAAGGAAGGTTTATATGTCAGTTTAAAATCAGAACAACGTTACGAAGCGGAGGTAAATTATGCCGTACATAACTTTCATGTCATAATTATTATGTTTGGACGATTCATTTACCTTCATCATCTATTCACGCCACCTGATACCAAATTTGGTATATGCGGAGCTAGCGAAACGGCCGCGAGCGTGCTATGAGCGTAGCATGTAGTCATGTTTTACATGACACAAGTATAATGATTATCATGTTTGTATGTGTCATTTAACTTCGCCGTCTATTGACGTCATGCAATACCAATTTGGTATAATTGAAGCTAGAGGAACGACTGCGAGCGCATCATGAGCATGGCAAGTGGTCATGTTGTTACGTGACACGCATCTCATGATTATCATGTTTGTACCAGTCACATACCTTCGTCGTCCATTCACGCCCCGTAATACCAAACATGGAATATGTGACTTTATTGAGCGTGGCGTGTAGTCATGACTCATGATTTACATGATATGCATGTCCTGATTTTTACGTTAGGGTCTGTCGCCTGTGTTCGCCATGCAATCATGTTATAGCATACCAGTTTTGCAACATATGTGAACGAGACCACCGCAAGGGCAGCAAGACCATTACTTGTAAATCATGACATTCATGATATACATGTCATGATTTTCATGTTATGACTAGTCAAATATGCTCGTCATACAGTCATGTTATGCCATACCAAGTTTGGTGTCGATTCCATTATTCAAACGGCCAGGAGAGCTAAAAGTCGTAGGTGGCTAGATAGATAGATAGATAGATAGATAGATAGATAGATAGATAGATAGATAGATAGATAGATAGATAGATAGATAGATAGATAGATAGATAGATAGATAGATAGATAGATAGATAGATAGATAGATAGATAGATAGATAGATAGATAGATAGATAGATAGATAGATAGATAGATAGATAGATAGATAGATAGATAGATAGATAGATAGATAGATAGATAGATAGATAGATAGATAGATAGATAGATAGATAGATAGATAGATACGCTCAAAGTCGCTGAAGTTCGCTAATAAATGCTTCGCATTTAAAAAGAACATACTGAAATATTTGACTCGGTAGGCTTAGCGAGGCGCTTCTCAAATCTTGTAGTATACATATATTTTGGTTTTTCAGTTGTTGATTGTCCAACCTTTTCGATCGAAAAATACTGCTTATCAAATGACTACGTGATTCTGGCTATAACTACAGCAGCTAACAAACACTTTGAAGAGTATCTTTCGGTAGCGCCGGTAAAAACTCGGCCTGAATAATTTTAGTTGTCTGTCACCTTAAAAGTTTTATCTGCATTCTGCTTACACACCATCTCATGGTTCGTACTTTCACATGACGCAGACTCAAAATGCGAAACCGTGTCCCTCGACAACCGTCCCAAGGACTTCGAGAAGGTTGCACTCAGGTGGGCGGAGCCCGTGGCACCTACACATCTCGGAGCCGCCAGCCTCTTCATGCTCCTCTGGTGACGAAAAAAGCCAAAACGGTAAGGAATGAAAGCCAATATTGAAGTGTGGCCTCCGAGATGGCGCGCCGGCAAACCGTCCGAACGCGCAATCTCGGAGGCCATGGTTGAGCAAGTTGGGCTAGCTGGTGGTGTCGGCATATTCGACGTTTGCTACTCGAGGCTTCCATTGGCCTTGTTTCTTGAGCTGGGACACGAAAGACGGAAAGGTAAAGGAAGGACAGAGGGATTAACTGGAGATCATCAATTTGACAGCCTCTGTCTGGGAAAAGGTAAAGTGGGTGTGAAAGAATGGAAGAGGGCAGGGGCCTATGGCGACATTTGAGCGGAATTACAAATATAGCAGCGTCCGTGCGCTACACAACAACACTATCAATCAAGAATCAACCAATATGGTAAGGAACGATATCGGTATGTAGAGTTTAACGTCCCAAAACCAACATATGATTAGGTAAAGAAGGAATGTCTAACTATACTTTGCATACCTTTACGCAAGTGCCTATACCGCACCGTCTCCTCCCCTTCCACTTGCCCCAAAGGTGGCGAAAGTATTTTCATTAATGGCCCCTACATGGTCTCGTGGCTATGGCGCTCTATACTGCAAACCCGAAGGTCGCGGGATCGAATCCAGGCTGCGGCTGATTCTTTTTCAATAGAAGCGAGAATGTTTGAGGCCCGTCTATACTTCGATTTAGGGGCACTTAGCTAGATAGATGCGTAGATAGATAGAGATAGATAGATAGATAGCTAGATAGATAGATAGATAGAAGATAGATAGATAGATAGATAGATAGATAGATAGATAGATAGATAGATAGATAGATAGATAGATAGATAGATAGATAGATAGATAGCTAGATAGATAGATAGATAGATAGATAGATAGATAGATAGATAGATAGATACGCTCAAAGTCGCTGAAGTTCGCTAATAAATGCTTCGCATTTAAAAAGAACATACTGAAATATTTGACTCGGTAGGCTTAGCGAGGCGCTTCTCAAATCTTGTAGTATACATATATTTTGGTTTTTCAGTTGTTGATTGTCCAACCTTTTCGATCGAAAAATACTGCTTATCAAATGACTACGTGATTCTGGCTATAACTACAGCAGCTACAAACACTTTGAAGAGTAATCTTTCGGTAGCGCCGGTAAAAACTCGGCTGAATAATTTTAGTTGTCTGTCACCTTAAAAGTTTTATCTGCATTCTGCTTACCAACACCATCTCATTGGTTCGTACTTTCACAATGACGCAGACTCAAAATGCGAAACCGTGTCCCTCGACAACCTTCCCAAGGACTTCGAGAAGGTTGCACTCAGGTGGGCGGATGCCCGTGGCACCTACACCATCATCGGAGCCTCCACGCTCTTCATGGCTCCTCTGGTGACGAAAAAAGCCAAAACGGTAAGGAATGAAAGCCAATATTGAATTGTGGCCTCCGAGATGGCGCGCCGGCAAACCGTCCGAACGCGCAATCTCGGAGGCCATGGTTGAGCAAGTTGGGCTAGCTTGGTGGTGTCGGCATATTCGACGTTTGCTAACTCGAGGCTTCCATTGGCCGTGTTCTTTGAGCTGGGACACAGAAAGACGGAAAGGTAAAGGAAGGACAGAGGGATTAACTGGAGATCATCAATTTGACAGCCTCTGTCTGGGAAAAGGTAAAGTGGGTGTGAAAGAATGGAAGAGGGCAGGGGCCTATGGCGACATTTGAGCGGAATTACAAATATAGCAGCGTCCGTGCGCTACACAACAACACTATCAATCAAGAATCAACCAATATGGTAAGGAACGATATCGGTATGTAGAGTTTAACGTCCCAAAACCAACATATGATTAGGTAAAGAAGGAATGTCTAACTATACTTTGCATACCTTTACGCAAGTGCCTATACCGCACCGTCTCCTCCCCTTCCACTTGCCCCAAAGGTGGCGAAAGTATTTTCATTAATAGCCCCTACGTGGTCTAGTGGCTATGGCGCTCTATACTGCAAACTCGAAGGTCGCGGGATCGAATCCAGGCTGCGGCTAATTCTTTTTCAATAGAAGCGAGAATGTTTGAGGCCCGTCTATACTTCGATTTAGGGGCACTTAAGAACACCAGGTTTTCGATATTTCCGAATCCCTCCACTAAATGACCTCACATAATCTTAACGTGCTTTTGGGGCGTTAAACCCAAGATATTATTGTTTTCTTTAATTGGAGTAGGAAGGCGTGAGAGAAACTTACGATAACTGAGTGAGCTTGTTTGAGGGGGGAGGCAAGGGGAGGCAGGGGAAAATCTCGGAGGGTTCGGCGGCCGCCCCACCCTAACGCAATGTTTGAATCAACAGCTACTAGGAGAGAAGGCAGTTCGATATGTCCCAGTTTGTGAGAAACACTCGGCCCGCACGTTTCAGCTTTACCGAGAGAGAGAGAGAGAGAATAAGAGGAACGGTGGGGAGGTTAGCCTGGGCTGAGCCCGGTAGGCTACCCTGCACTGGAAAAGGGCGAGGGAGAAGGACAGTTATGGAGGAGGAGAGAAAAACCACTCATTGAGCCGACGCGTAACAGTTCCACGTTTGAATTCCCAAGTGATGATTCAGACTGGTGTCCTTGAGAAAACGTCTCAGCGCTTTCGTTGGCTTTCGATGGGCTGGTTGCGCAGCTGTAGAGAGTGCTTGGTGGGTAATTTTTTTTTTAAATAATTTTCGTCAACAGGCGTTCCAAGGCACGAATTTCACCGTACGAGGGATGCCGGCTCTGAAGTGGTCGGTCTGCTTGAGTGATGACGACACGCCCATCGACGTGTACTTCTCCGGTAAGCATTATTTAAACGCGGCCTCCGAGATGGCGGGCGCGCGGCGTGCGTCCACCATCTCGGATGCCACAGTTCAACTGCCGGCGTTCGACTGCACTTTTACAGCTTGGCGTGAAGCCTTCCATAAGTCGTGAGATAGGGTTTAAAAAGCAGCTCGCGGTACAGAAAGACAAGAGAAAATTCTGTAAAACACTTAAATAAAGCAAACTCTTGTGGTGTGAAATTGGCCATAAAAACTATCACATAAAACGTAATCTAACTTGCTCGTAGTTCGTTAACCAACTAGCCCGTTTCGTTATCCTTATTCAGTATCTTACTACGTCGAAAACCTTTTGTACGGTACGTGTGCTGACTTGGCGTTCAATAATCCACCTGTGTTATCATACGTGATTGCCATTTGCATCTTGAGCTTAGTTCAACTCGCCTAATTGTTATGTCTATTATATAAAACTACTATCGAGACTAAATATAAGCTAACGTACCAATATCCAATAAATTTTTGTGGTATGACGTCATGCGTCTAATTTTGTTCAGGTCAGATGCCTACCGTATGTGACCGAGGCCGGAAGGAAATTAAAATGGTAACGCTAACGAAAATTAATCAATGACAAAAATTCTAACGTATGTTCAGCAAGGTCACGTCATTTCATGCATGCTAACTTCCCTGTTTATTTTTTTACAGCTCTTCTTTAGAGTGAGCGAATGAAAAGAAATGTACTTGGTGCAACTTAGCTGAAACGCCCTTTATACTTCACTATAAACTTTGTAAGCATATTGCTGTCTCATATTATTAGCTAGAATAGTCACGTGTTTGTTGACATTTCGTTCCCCCGTTTCCGTAACGTGTCAATTACTGCAGTTTTTATTGACTCACACGTGACATTTATTACGATTGCTTGCAACACTAAAGCTTCCCTGTATATCACAATTCCATTTATTATCTCCATGAATTCTGATGCGCGCCATTGCTACGTTGACATATTGTATTAATCGCTACATTGTTGAACCAGTAATGGGAGTTCAACAGATTTGTAACTCCGGGAGCTCCTTTTGCACTAATGATGAATAAAGATAAAAATGGTACAAAGGAAAGGAGGTGAATGTTGAAGTTAGCGCTCAGGGAGAGGGCTGCTCATTCGCTTGACCTCTTACCTTCTTATTATGCGCTGCTGTTCGCATTGCGCATTGTTCCTACCAATGAATAGATCAACCAGATGCAAAATTTTAATAGTTATTTAGAGTACTTCGTGTAACTGTATTACGACACCACCAAACTTAATTAGCATTACTCAATTAATGTTACGTCACGTAGCTTTATACTAATAAAAGCTTATGTAGCGCTAACGCATCGTTGCGGTTTCAGATCCCAAGCACAGTCCTTACGGCTCCGTGGTTCCAGTACCTCTGAGAATCGTCCAGGAGAAGGAGGTCTCCGATATCATGATGATGCAGGATTACGTCACGGACACTGACGATGTGTTTAAGGTGACTTAGACTTTTCCCTTCTTTAGGCTATGCACTGGTTGAAAAACAAATTTTGTTAGTGTTGCCGTCCAAAAAGCTAAACACCACGATAACTTTTCTTGTTGATTGATTGATTTGTGGGGTTTAACGTCCCAAAACCACCATTTGATTATGAGAGACGCTGTAGTGAAGGGCTCCGTAAATTTCGACCACCTGGGGTTCTTTAACGTGCACCCAAATCTGAGTACACGGGCCTACAACATTTCCGCCTCCATCGGAAATGCAGCCGCCACAGCCGGGATTTGATCCCGCGACCTGCGGGTCAGCAGCAGAGTCTCTAGACCACTAGACCACCGAGACTTAGCCACTAGACCACCGTGGCGGGGCTTTTCTTGTTGATTGACAGCAGATCAGGTGATTATAACGCATAATGGTGACACCGGCTATCTACTCGGCTCTTGAATAGAGCGGACGTACAGGAATAAGTTTTCATGTGACATGAACACACACACAAACACACACACACACACACACACACACACACACACACACACACACACACACACACACACACACACACACACACACACACACTCCAGTTCCATTCAGTGTGATACCTGCAGGAAACCTCGGAGCTGTGGTGCTCCCGTGATCCCCTTGGGATTTTCAGCACTATTTTGCAACTTTATGCGGATGTCTGTGAATCAGCTATTTGTAGAGTAGATATGAACGGGACACAACATGCGGCCACCCCGGACGCGCCTGCCCTTGCTACTTTAGCGATAGGCTTCATTAAGGCCCGGGTGGCGCTTCCTGATTTACCTGTGCGGATACCGCTTCGTCCGCTATTGAGACAATTACGCCATCTACGGGTGCATCTGGGAACCGGAACGTGACAACACGGACGCCCATCTGTCGTCAGGCCCAGCCCTGCATAGACAGCTCGGCTGTTAAGATCTGGTAGCTACGACATACAGGTGCCTCATCGCGTGAAAACGGAAAAACGTCGATGCAGTGCAAAAAAAAAAAAAAGAAAAGCTGAACAAGAACCTCGAGAATGTGAACAAGTGATCTCCACAATGAGACTGGCGTGTAGCACAGCTCGGAAACACACAGGGGCAAAGAAGAACCACTAGACGAACACAAAGGCTTTATTTATTGAACAGTCATAGATTGATTGATTTGTGGCGTTTAACGTCCCAAAACCACCATATGATTATGAGAACAGCCAAAGAGACTTACAATGACCTCTGTTCTAAACGTTGTTAGTCAACCGGTCGTACGCTACAGCTAATTTTCTTCTGTATCACTACTTTATTTCTAATTCGGTATGCAACAAGTCGTCCAGCCTTTTTTTTTTTTTCAAAGTAATTTCAAACAAATCTTTTTGTTATACAAAACCATAAATTATTCTCTTTTCTAGGATTAATTTATTTAAGCTAGCTGATTCTCAGCCAATGTGAGCCAAAAGTCGAGGATCTACATCTGCTTCTTATTAGTTTCTGCTTGCGCGCTTTGCTAAACGCCAGATTACGACGAACCGATAAGCTCGTACTGGTACCCTTGACCACAAGGTGAAACCATCCAATCTGCGGGTGTCATACCACACAGCGTACGTTTTCGAATTAAAAAAAACAATAACATCCGATTGTCCCCCTCATGCTTTCACCTAGGACGTCTGAACGGTGAAAGCTATCTTCTCGTTCTTCTCAATAGGTATATGGATCCTGCCCCGCCGCCCTCCGAAAGGTTTGTGCACCAAGCGTGGTTTTCTACGGCCTCCGAAATCGGAGGCACCACACTTGGTTTTACATTGCCTCCGTGATCGGCACGCTTTTGACTAAGTTGCGACGTCATCTCATCATTTTCACTGGTATAGCGCACCACGACAAGGACACACACAAAGGAGAGATGCACACACACACATCTGATGACTACAGCCCGTGATGTCCTAATGACGTCACGATGACGCCACAAATTTTGGCAATTTGTGACGTCATTGCTACTCGTACGATAGCGTTACCCCGTGACGGTGACGATTCTTTCGCATCCCTCGTGTTGTGACGCCGACGTGCGGCGCCGGTCAATTTTCACGTTTAAAGAGGCGTCTATGGATTTGGCGTTTAAAATTATATGAACGCACTGTGGCAGCGTACGTCGATTCAGGTGTCACGCTGCTAAGTTCGTGGACGTACGTTTGATTTCTGGCTGCGGTTGGCGCATTTTAGCAGCCACTAAATGCAGAAAAAAAGAAAACACACACGTTTGCTTACTTAGACTCAGTAGCGAGAATGCCGGTTATCAAAATCCACCTTTTTCCGTTTTCACGTACTGCCCTCTGGTGTTTTCGCGGGATTTTGGTAGGGTCTGGGAGAACCAGTGTTGTAAGAAGCAAAGCTTCAGAGACCACGAGGCGTTTTGCTACTTTTCCGCTAGCGTGGGAAGCACGTGCCGTCGCATCGTGAAAAAATAAAAAAAAAGATGCGAATTCTCCGGGAGCGCCTAGTTGTATGTCACGCCTTGTAATGAAATCGTGGTACAGTAAAACCTCAGCACTGGGGCCATAATTTAGTTTGTTATATCCGATAGTCACTGTAAACGTAGCGAAGGAAATCGACATTCTGGCATGCGCTAATTTATTAAATAGATAAACGCAATTTCAACAAACCCACAATAATGCAATGTAATCGTTATCTGTCATCTTGTGGGATTTCAAATATACCGATGCATGAGAAAGTAAAATTACAACAGAACAAAGCTTATAACGTGCCTATGTTCGCTTCGAATGTTCAATGTCAACCAATTTCAACTCTTAACACGGTGGTGTGCAAAAAAAACAACAACAGCATAAATAGGGCTCCCCAAAATACAGCACCAAAGGGACAACCGTGTTCTATTCTTTCTTTGCATGTTAGTGAATGAGCCTGTGCTGCCCCGCCATGGTGGTCTAGTGGCTCAGGTACTCGGCTGCTGACCCGCAGGTCACGCATTCGAATGCCAGCTGTGGTGGCTGCATTTACGATGGCGGTGGAAATGTTGTAGGCCCGTGTGCTCTGATTTGGGTGCACGTTAAAGAACCCCAGGTGATCTAAATTTCCGGAGCCCTCCACTACGGCGTCTCTCATAATCATATGGTGGTTTTGGGACGTTAAACCCCACAAATCAATCAATCAATGAGCCTGCGCTACCTTGTTCGGTAATACGAGAGTGAAATATGGATTCAAAGATAAGGTAGCACGTGAAATCGGAGTAGCCTATTTTATCAGCAAAGCAGGTGACGCTGTGGTCGTGAAACCCTCGGTGACATTACTTGCCGATGAGTTAGTTTTCATGGAAACACTTTATTAAGACAATCTTTGTCTCCTAATGTGACCGTTTCGTCAACACACGCTGATCTAACCACTTATACATGGTTATTATTGCAATAAATTATCAGTTAACAGTGAGTTACCATGATCGAAGTTACTATGACCGCGTATCACCAACTGTCCCAATCGTCCACTTTCATTAGTGAGTTACCGACTGGCTCAGCAGTCCGGGACTTCCCATTTTCACTCAGCCGAGTTCTTAATGTGGCAAACATAGTTCACACAATGGGGTTCTGAACTGCTTTGCTATTATATTTATTTTTCATCTTTTAGGCTAATGTGCGAGTTTTTATGCCTCGTGCGACCAAATCAATTCTTCGTTACAGCCGATATGGCAGCGGTTTTCACGTTTCGAATTTCGTTCTGAGAATAGACGCCGTTGAAATGAAGCGTGACATAGCGAAGTTCGTATTTATAGTTCGCTATTACAAATAGTTTGCTATATCAGTGTTCGTTATAACGAGCTTTATTTACTCGTTCAAAGAAAAACCCAAGTGTCCTTATTAACAGGGTATTCCATGAAGGTGGGAATGAAATGGGGGGGGGGGGGAGGGGAAGAGGGCTGCTCAGACATTGGCTACAGTTTACGCATTCAAACAAAAAAGTTGAACAAAATAAAATGCAAATGATATGTAGTGGAACATGATGTACAAAATTCGTTTTCAAACATATGGCACAAGCAAAGCAGGAACGGAAATCATCAGAGCAAAAGAAAAAAAACGAGCAAAAAAACATACTTGAGTTACACTTGCACGCGAGGACTTTGCGCTTTAACCCACCCTGTGTTACTCCTTTCAGATTCCAGCTGGGCGTGGATGTGCCCGCATCAAGACGCGACTGCCCAAGCCACCGAGCTTCGCCAACGTCTCTTTCGAGTTCCACTCGGAGGTTATGTTCAGGAACCTGCAGAGTTCCCCAGACTTCTACTACACCTCGCACTTGGACGTGAGTTTTGAACTCGTGCGCCGGATTCCTGTGCGTGATACGGTGTAAGAAAACCTATAAGGCTGGCGAAAGAAGTCATTCTTCTTTCGGATTGGAATGGCTGACAACCCTTTTTTGCGGCAATTGCGGTAGCGAGAAAACATTGCCGCACATCTTTTGCTACAGTCCTCGCTACAATTCAAAGAAAACATCCCTAGCAGCCACTCTAGCTGGCATAGATCAGAGACCGATGATGGCAGAAACAATTCTGGAATGTTGACCTGAGAGAAGATCGCGGGTGAAAATGACGAAGGTGGTGCTCAACTTCCTGATTGCAACAGACTTGCACCAGCGATTAATAACTTACTGTGATATGGTGACTGAGAAATGTGGTTTGATGTGCGTGCTCTCTCTCATCTCTCTCTCTCTTTCTTCCTTCATCTTTCAACTCCCCCAACCATTTTCTCTGTATTGGGTAGCATACTAGTCCCCTTAGACCAGTCGACATCGCTGTTTTTTTCTTTTCTCGCCTGTTCCTTTTTTCTTCATCTACACACGGGAGTTGTTGCCTGTAACAACTGGATTGTTGCGCTGCTAAGAGCAGCACTCGGATGTAGGTCCGATTCCTGGCAAACAGGAAGAAAGGACATAAGAGGGAGCACTGCGCAATGCTATAGAAATAGAGAGAGGTGTGAAAGAAACAAAGAGAGAGAAAAAAAAGGAATAAAGAAGAGTTAGAAAGAAAGAAAAAGAAACAAGATAGATAGATAGATAGATAGATAGATAGATAGATAGATAGATAGATAGATAGATAGATAGATAGATAGATAGATAGATAGATAGATAGATAGATAGATAGATAGATAGATAGATAGATAGATAGATAGATAGATAGATAGATAGATAGATAGATAGATAGATAGATAGATAGATAGGAATAAGCAGTGCGTTAAGCTCGCACATCCCAAGCTTCGCTTGTCCCACATTTTTCCGGAAGGGACAGGAACCGAGAATATTTTTTTTATTTTATTCACCGCGAAAAATTTCAATATCCGATGGAAGCTTTTGACTGACACGACATCTTGTGTTTTTCTCAGATCATCCGCGACACTTCCAGCGACCACATGAGCGCTATTGTTGAGCCGTGGGCCACGAGCGAGCGCAACGCGCAGCCGAGTGGACCAACCGGAAGTTACCAAGAGATATTCGACTACTACAACGGTAAGCAATGATGCGTCTTTCAAGTTATTTTTGAGAGGCGAAGCTCCTTACGCCATGGGTCTTAGGTCTCGTTTAGTGCTTAGAAAGTCCGCTGGATGGTGGCACTTGTACATGATGAATATGTGACGACAAGATGCGAGTTGGCGGTACTCGGAGTGTTAACTAGATGGACAGACGGACGGATGGACGCAAGGACGCTTTGCCGCATTCATCATCATTCACTCCTTGGATATGCTGCGATTTTTTTTTCTAACCAAGAAGGTTCCTTGGTTGCAACCAAGGCCATTTTTTTTTTTTTAATGCGAAGCAGCTTTTGCTTGGGGCTGTGTCCGTCCCTCGGCGACCCTCCGTTCCTGCACTTCAGATGCACCAACTCTCTCTTTTGCTCCTTCCCTGTCCTGTATTTTTTCTGGTGTTGCGCTGTAAGTTCACGATCTCTCCACTCTCCTCGCGTGAGCGCGAGGAGGTGGGGTAGAGAAGGCGGCAAAGCGCCGGCTTGGCTTTCTCCTCTCTCGTTTCTCTTCTCCCGTTTCTCCTCTCCCGTTTATCTCTTCGCCACAGCTACGCTCTCGTATTTATAGCTGCGCTCGCTCGCTCCGATGCACTCTCCTGGCAGCGCTGGGGGCTCACTTTGCGGCGCACGCACGGCAATACACACAAATAGGAGGGGTGGTAACATAAGCGGTGCACAACTCCACACACAAACGAAGCGTACACGGAAACATATAAATGGAAACGACCAGTGGCAATACAAGTTAACACCAGCACTGTTTCGTATCCCCACATGATTTGCTATAGGGGGAGGTGATGTGTTTTTTTTTTATTCTCCTTGGTTGTAACCCAGACTAAAGGAGTGACAACGTTTTTGGGGTGCGGGAAAATCGACTGAGTTGAAAGAAACGATTGTATTGGCCTTGCGAGTAATCTTAGCGAAATGCACACATCCCCGTGTGAGCTCTTTCGTTACGTTGTCACCGACTTCAACTGCTTACTTGAACTTGCAGGTATTCTTTACACTATCTACAAGCTAGGACACCAGGACACCTGCACGGTGACAGCCACGAACGGGTACATGCTGAACGTGTCGCTTCCGGGTTTAGGCAAGCTCGACATGCTGAACGTGATCTTCGTCGACGAGGCGATACTCATGAACGCCACCTATCTGGGAGTGGTTAGTATTGATTGATTGATTGATTGATTGATTGATATGTGGAGTTTAACGTCCTGAAACCACCATATGATTATGATAGACGCCGTAGTCTAGCAAAGTTTGCCTATGTTCATGACTTCTTTGCGCAACACGTATTGCGCCCGTGTTGTTTGCCTCTTTTCCTTGTGTCCGTGTACGTGTTTGCGCAAAGAAGTCATGAATGAGTACCAACTCGCCCAACTTTCAGTACTGTTGTTTGCCTATGTTCTTTAACGTGCACCCAAATCTGAGCACACGGGCCTACAGCATTGTGGCCTCCATCGAAAATGCTGCCGCCGCAGCCCAGACTCACTCCCGCGACCTGTGGGTCAGCAGCTGAGTGCCTTAGCCAGTGGATGACCACCGTGGGACTATGGTTAGTATTGTGCTTAGTGTTGATCATAAACTGTCTACGAACGCCGTTTACGTAAAACGCAAGGAATGATGAAACTTATCTCACGAACAAATTACACCACAATATGTTATCAGGCCGTGCCACCATGTGCGAGGCGACAGTCAGTGCAGAAGAAAATTGAAGAATGGTTACACTCCGCAACTGTCAGATTGCTCGGACGGACACGACTTGGGGACATGTGCGCGTAGCGTCATCTGTCACCGCTGCCAATGGGGTGCTGGCGTAACTAAATGGGACGTGCGTGAAAAAAAAATCACGTTTGACTACTACCATTTCGAGAAAGAAAGGAAAGTTTACAACTCACCCACCCTGCCCGTACCTCCCCTATCTGAGTCAATGGATTAAATATGATTGCTGTACTAACTGCGTACAAGGGCATTGGGAAACTCTCTCGGACACTATTTTCTTTTTCGATCAGTTTTCGATCTGGAATCAATGTTAATTTTTATGAAATAAAATACAAGATTGACGCATACGTAATTACACATCCGGAGGTCTAAAACTAGTAAGTGTTGGGGGACCTTCTATGAAACCCTAAATGAGGGGGCTAAAAAAAAATCTTGGCAAACAGTGAGTCATATATTATATAATTTACAGAGAGCCTTCAATTAAGGGTTACAAGTACCAAAAAGTTTATAAGAAATTATCGAGATAATCACAAGCGTAAAAATAAGGAATGAAAAGTAAAGTGAGATGCAAGAAATTAGGAAGATCCATCACAGAAATTCAAACATTGATTAAAGCCATGTAGAACCAGCAACGCCAATAAGTACCAAATATACTCAATGTTTAAACAATTGGACAATAGACTTTAGTCGAAATTCTAAGTTAATTCTAATTCCAAGTGTGAAGAAAACAAGGTATGCTTGTTGCCTGTACAAGGAAGGAATAAAATGATTCCGAAATTTCGAATATCTTCAAGATGTGGATTACGTAATGCTGACTCTGTATTGGCAATTTCATTTTACAAGCACCTCGTCCGTGGCATGCCGACGCATGCATTCGAGCTTCTCCAGGATGGACTGGATGGGAGGGCGTCAAAGATTACCCAAGCGACCATCACCTACTACTACCTGCAGGTGAGCTCCTTTACGCATATGCGTGCGTCCCAGATTTCGCGGTTTGACAAGACGATGCGAAATTAACACTAAGCGAGTAAATTCATAGTAAACCGAAAAGAAGCCAAAGCGAGTAACCGCAAACGACGGCCATGCTTGTTGTATCCCTAAGTATAGACACTAGTTTGAAACAGTGAATTAGTTTAAATTGGTCATATATACTTTCAAAACTCTATGATCGTTGATTTCCCCATCGGGGGTTTACTAATACCAGAGAAGACCAAGGTCAAATAGTCATTTTAAAATTTATATTGAAACAGGGAATCAGTTTAAATTTGTAAATTATACTCTAAAAACTCTATGATTGATTTCGCCGTCATAGGTTTAGTAATACCATGAAAAACCAAGGTCAAATAATCATTTTATAATTTCGCGCCGAAATCACCAGAAGTGACGTCACAGATTTGACAATGTTTTTTTTTGTATTTTGGTACCATCAGTGTAATAAAACTTCCTGAAACTTGGTATGTCAAGTCACTGGACCCCTGAAAGAATAATGAATTTCATTTATTGTTCTTCATTCATCGACCGACCGACCAACTTGGTAGGAACTAAGACCGACCGATTCGGTAGGAACAAAGTATACTCGAGCAGACCCCTTCGAACTTCATGACTTCACGGCGATTGGCGCAAAAATCTCAAGGTGGTGTTGCCGCCTGCATTTTCTTTTGGCGTGTTCTCTCGCTTCGACTAACCAATAGACCGACCTGCCGACTGTAAAAAGGCTGAATTCACCAACTTGTTGTTTTCTACAGCTGCGGCAGGGAGCAGAAGATAGTGCCCTTAGCCTTTTATTTTACTTCACGATAAATCTGACGTAGTTATTTTACAGCATCACTTCGTACAGCATAGTATGTGGGACATGTTACTTCACTCGATTCTACCTGAACAATCCGAAAGCTTTACACAAAGACGGGAGCGGATAGCTTTTTTTTATATGGTTAACGTAAACCGTTTCCATGAAATACGCACGGAGTGGCCGTGTATATACGTCTGTTTTTTATTCTCTCTCGCTCTCTCTTTCACAGGATGACTGGATATGGGACCGGGACCTCAGCCACAGAAACATTCCGGTGAAAATAGCCGCTCGTACATTCACCACAGCGCAGCAGCAGCTGAAGGTGCGCGGTTCAATCGTTCAACGCGTTTTTTATGTATGCCTCGTTTGTGTGGGGAGAGTAAGCCGAGTTTGAAACGGGCCCAGTTGGTGCGCGCATTAGCGCGATAAACAATGCAATCGACTGGCAACGCCAAATCAATTTAGTAGGTGTCTCTTGAGGGCATGCACTTACGTCTGCTTCGGAGACGCTCGTTCTTCCAAGGTGAAATCCTTAAGCTATGCTCATACTACGTGCGCTACGTATGGTGAGGATCGTAAGCGTGACGCAAGCAACGTTATGAGCTTGTTCAGACGTTGTTGTATTTTGCGTTAAGTTACGCAACTTTTGGGGCGTGAACGTTGTTGGATCCGCGGCTTTACAACTACCAATGCAACCGTTACGTGCGACCTACGGGGCAAAGCAGTTTCGGTTTTCACTTTCCGTTCGCGGGCCTTACAGCCTTCCCAGATTACGAGTCTTGAAAGCCATGCAGTATAGCGTATTTGTGCAGTAGGTTTGCCGAACTAGGGGGCAAACGCTGCGCGACTTCCTCACATCGGGCCTTCCCTTTATACCAACCAGCCCAGCCATGGCCGTACGCGCGAACCGTGCTAACCTGCAACAACCATAGCGAGGACGCAACGTACAGAGTAGTCATTGGCGTGTCGTAAAAAAGCTTATCGTACCGAAAAGATCAATGTGGACACACGTGCTCAATAGTTACGCAAACGGACGATACAATTCTAACGCGATACGACGGCCTTGCTAGCTGTATTCTTAAGCAGACACTAAATTGAAACAGTGAATTAGTTCAAATTGGTCAATTATACCTTTAAAAATCTATGATTGATTTCCCCGTCATATGTTTACTAATACCATGGAAAACTAAGGTCAAGTAATCATTTTAAAATTTCGAGCCGAAATCACCGGAAGTAACGTCACAGATTTGAAAATGTGTTTTTTTTTTGTAATTTTTGGCACCATCAGTATAATGAAACTTCCTGAAACCTCCTGAAAGGTGTAGGTAATCATTACCCCAATTCTTACGCGATACGACACTTGTAATACTTCCATAAATACTCATCTTCACCATTATTATCAGCCTTGCCTGGAATCGCGTGTGAACTCCCGTCTAATCACATGTATTGTGAAGCAGTATCATTCATACACGATTTAAGTATTTATTGATCAGCGGCGTGAAGTAATTGGGAAACCAGCTGTCTTAGCTTCCCGCCCTCCTCCCCCGAACTATTCCAGAAAAGTAATTGATAAATATATCTTGTCATCTCTTTCAAGGAAAAAAAAACTCTTTACCGGTTTGCAAGCACTGGTAATTCGTATTCAAAGGCACTATATCAAAAGACGCCAAGACCAGCACCGATTACGTGATGCAGTGGTGTTAAAAAGCATTGATAACATGGTCGAAAAATGTAATTCCAGGCCGACGAACTCATAAGTGAACTCAACTCGGACTGAGATCAAGCCGTGAGCCGGTGTGAGTCCGGTTGCAGAAAATTCCTGTTGGAAATTAAATTTTGCTCAAAAACAAGAAAAAAAGGGGGGGATTTACAAGAAGGAAAGGAGGCAGACAAGCGTGGGCTATAAACTGGAAAACAAAATTCGTGAGTGTGAGTGATTCCTGCTCAGGAAAAGTTTTGTGAATCTCAGTACGAGTGAGTTTAAAGTGCAAGATATCTTTCATGAGTCAGTCTGAGTGAGCTCAGCAGTTTCTGCAAAGTCATCTCGGCGTCACACGATGATGACTTCGTATGACGTAACCGTTTGGACAAATGTATGTTGATCACAGAGGAAGTGCAGAAAAAGGTTAGGTGCAGAACGCTTTCGGGTGTTGGAATATCAATACAAATCAACATATTTAAAAAAAAAGGTGGCTTGACTTTCGCTTTGGAATCATCTCAGGACAATGCATGTGGATTCGTGTGCTTTTTTTTTTTTTGCGCTTCAGTTTACAGGTAGATCAGTCACGCTGATTGCCAGCAGACACAGGTGTGCGCAGGGTTTTCCCTTGCTGGGGGAGGGGGGGGGGCAATCGTTGACCGCAGCGCCACCTTTACGAAGTCAACGTATGGTCCAGATTTGCGTCTCTCATCCTCGTACGCGACTATGTGGCTAGATGTAAGAGGCGGCCACCCCCACCACTCTCCTGACCTCCCGTCCGCACGCCTAAGCCTTCAAGGCTCGTTGCCACCTGCGTCAAACAGCGACAGCGTGACTGCTTGCGATTGGCGGTCAAAAAGCGTCGGAAAGCGACATATTCTCGCACCTGATAATGACAATAACGTTTGGGGCTTTACGTGCCAAAACCACAATATTATTATGAAAGACGCCGTAGTGCACTTACATCTTACAGTACGCGGACATCCACCATTTCGCCTCCTTCGAAATGCGGTCACCGCGCCCAGGATCGAACACATGGCATTCGGGTCATCAACCAAGCACCCTGCCCATTTATCCACCGAGGCGGTCAAAGTTTTCACGCCTGAGTGTGACCCTTGTAATGCGTTGCCACATAGAATTCACGTCTGGCCGAATACACCGCGCATTGTCATTGTCCCAGTAAAATAAGCCGACGACCCGTTCCTGCGCACGTGATTGGCTCACAGATTTGGGACGACAGTCACGTGACTCAAAAGTTGAGCGGCGAGCGACTCGGCTGAAACAGTCGCTTTGTGGGCAAAAGCGACCATTTGCGGCTAACATGGTGGCGCGACAACTGCTATCGCCGCCGGCACATATCTATAGCGTTTCCCATAAGTACACAAGAGGAAACTCTGGCGCTATATATATATAAGGCATAGTGTGTGAGTTCCATCACATGGTGCTCAAGGAAGCATGGGAAGGATGGGTAGTACTCGGATTTGTCTAAGCTTTCCTTGAATCAGTGAGACACCTGCATTCGCTTTGTCACAAAACAAAGTTCAGCAGACGTTCAGCAGTTTCACTTCCCAACCTTGACCTATTTAGGCTCGCCCATTCGAATCGGGTCACGAAGTTTACAACTACCCATTATTTTATTTGAAACAAACGCCAAACACAGCGATGAACAGGCCCGCCGTGGTGGTCGAGTGGCTAAGGTACTCGGCTGCAGACCCGCAGGTCGCGGGATCGAATCCCGGCTTTGGGGGCTGCATTTCCGATGGAGGCGGAAATGTTGTAGGCCCGTGTGCTCAGATTTGGGTGCACGTTAAGAGCCCCAGGTGGTCGACATTTCCGGAGCCCTCCACTACGGCGTCTCTCGTAATCATATGGCGGCTTGGGTACGTTAAACCCCACATATCAATCAATCAATCAATCAACAGCAACAAACAGCCACATGTGACTTTGAAGAAGTAAGAACGAAGTGTAGGCAAACCCGTGTACTTACCATCATTCCCGGAATGGCTGAGCGATGGCAGCGCCAGAGTTCCGTCTAGTTAGTATTGCAACTCTTTGGCCGCCGGTGAGAACGTGTCCTCGAAAGCTCCAAAACAGCCTATGAACAAAACACGCGTTTCATTTTCTTCTGGCGTTTCCCGTTCTCGTGGCACAGTTGGTGACGTCAGCAGTTCGCTCACGTGGCATTAGAATGAAATGAACTCTGTATTGGTCTATATACAAGAAACATATGTTGCGACTTTGTTCCTTACCATGCTTACCCTGCTGTCGCACGCACGACCTGCCTTGTGTTGCACGAATTTCGCAGTGCAATGAACTGATTTCATTTCGTTTTCTGCGTCTGCGCAATAATAGATAACAACGTGCAATCGACAAAGGTGTATTCATAACGGCTCAACACTTAGTGCTGACATTTCACGTGTTTCATGAAGAAACAAGTCGCGAGGAGGAGAGGGAGAGAACACAAGAAGAAAGGCAGGGAAGTTAACCAGGGCTGAGCCCCGGTAGGCTACCCTGCACTGGGGAAGGGGAGAAGGGGAGGAAAGTTATAGAGGAGGAGAGAAAAGGTCACCGACTGGGCCGACACGTAACAGTTTCGCCATCACAAACGATGAAACAGGCCGGTGTCTTAGAGAAAATGCAACAGTGCTTTCGTTGCATTTCGGAAATTGGATGGGCAGTGCCATGGTCCCAATACTTTCTCGACCGTGAAGTCACTTCTGTCCGAGTTGATTTAAAAACACTGCGCAGGTGAAGCCTCTCGTTTGTGTATGCCGGGTAGTAACATAAGATGTGTTCAATAGTCGTTGCACTCCGCGCTGTCGGCCATCCCTATCTTAAATGAGTAGGCATTGGTGAGGGCTACGTCCAGACGCAGACGGCACAACACTGTACCTTCCTCCCTAGAAAGACCAGACGGTAGCCGCAGTCGTAGAGATGGCTCGAGAGAATATAGTCCACGATGTGCAAACTGCGATGACTGCCACTTCTGGAGTGTCACTTCCTGCGCCAGCTTACTTAGGTATCTAGTCGAGTCAATCCTAGATAAAGGTACGGACACAGGGTTTGTTTGTACGTGTGCGTTTCTGGCTGCTTCATTGGCGAGGTCGTTGCCGGAGATACCACCATGACTTGCTTTCCACTGGAACACAGCGAGATAGCACAGGTATAGGAAGGGTAATGAAGGCGAATGTAAACTTCTGTCTCGCCTTTAAACTTTGGGATGGTTTAGAGTCCCCTTCATATATACTTTAATACGTTCGCTCGACAAATGTGTACGCCATCTTGTCGCACTTACGTACTGTGTTCTTTTTTTCTGCGTACAGCCGTTCTACGAGCTCACGCTCAACATCCACGACCTGACGACCGTGATGGAGCGGATGAACGAGAAGATGAACGTGCTGTCGTGCTACGACGAGAACGATCAATCGTACACATGGTTTCAAGTTGGCTTCCCAGGTATGCGTTCCCATTACCACGACGATTGCTATAGCGCGAGCTCAGAACGACGAACAAAGGTACAAGAAGAAAACGAGCGCCGACTTCCGACTGAGTTTACTGTGCAGAGCGCGAAAACGCGACAGTAAATCGTCGCGCTTCCGAGTTCTCATTGCCACAATGCACACAATCCCGAATGCTGTTACGAAGCGCGCCTCCGACGACGTGACGAAGGGCGCCACGAAATCTCACCGCTGCAACCACTGTTTACGAAAGACGGCGACGCCAACACGGTCCCGAAGGCGCCACTGCTTCGAACTACGCCGGGAAGGTCACCAGCCGTTTGGTAGCGTAGGTTTCTCAGCTCGCGACTGCTTCTGCGCAGAGCTAATAGACGAGCGGACGAGACGACGGGGAGTTAAACAAGGTTTATGTACAGCATATATACAGAGGCGTTACAAATTCGGCACTGGGGCCGACAGTTTAGAGACTCGAAGAGCCGAGCTCTCTTCTCTGACACATAGGTCTACTGCTCGCGACGCACCGCAGGGCTTTTTTTATATGCGCCGGGTGTATTCTTTGAGTAACCAAGCGAAGCGCCGGTGGTCGTGAGGTCAGACTCCTCCAATGGGGTCGCCGCTGGGCCGCGTCATTCTCATCAAATACGGAGCCGCTGCAGGTGGCTGCACCCAAGGACGAGTGACGTCGCCACGCATTGCGTAAGACTCGCCAGACAAGAAGGCGCCTATTGCTGCAACGGGCTCGTGGGCTGAGGTGACTCACTGTGCGTGCGCGACAGAAAGGCACCGCCGCGTGATGACGCCGTTGAGTTGCTCATCGCGTCAGGCGGGCTCGCGTGCTGGCCTTCACACAGATTTCCTTTTTCCGAGGCATGGACGTTCGCTGTGGACTCGCAGGCATAACAATGCTTACCGGTGTAACAGTGCTCGCAGATTGAAACGGGACAGTTTAGAAATAATCAACTGTACGTACTTTTGTTTCTACTGTCTTCAGCATAGAGTTCCCCGTAATTAACTGGAGAGCACAGTGGCGGTGCGATCGTTTAGCCACAATGAGAATTTTGGGTAGTACGCGACTTTGCCTATATAGTAATCGTGCTTGCGGGCTTCGAAAGTACTTATGGATTTGTTTATCGTTGTGTTTGGATACTGTTTCGTATTTAATAACGAACCCTTGTGAATTCGTGAGTCGATTTAAGTTTGGGAGCCTACAAAATTCTAGGTGATGAAGAGTGACTGCTTAATCGCTGCTGATCTTCGTATTACGGCAAAGCGGATTCAGCCCACACACAGTCAAAAAAGTGGAGGCTTGGCAATAATAGCAAATTTGTGTCCTACCCATCATTCCAATGCTGGCAGAAACACCTTGCGTTGCAGCTCCCATAATCACTTGCGCCGCACTCTGGGTTCTTTAGTGTATTCATAGGAAACTATGTCTTCAGTAGGGGTCGTGTCGGTGTAATTTTGACTTGAATGCGTAGATCAGGGGTAGCATTACCTTTGCAGAGACCAGATTCATCGCGGCAACACGTGGTTATCTCAAGCAACGGAGCATGCCAGTCGTTATTCCAAAAATTTGATGTCGCGTTTGAGTCCTTTGGTGAAGAAAAATAAATACAGGCTATACAGAATGGACATGCCGTTCAGCTTGCTCTCTGTAGTATACAAGCTATTTACAAAGGTAATTGCTAACAGAGTAAAGAAAACATTAGAATTTATTCAACCAAAGAAACAAGCAGGATTTCCAACAAACAGGCTACTCAACAATTGACCACATTCATACTATCAATCAGGTAATACAGAAATGCTCAGAATATAACCAACCACTATACATAGCCTTCATAGATTACGAGAAGGCGTTTGATTCAGTAGAAATATCAGCAGTCATGCAGACACTGCGGAATAGGGCGTCGATTAAGCATTTATAAACATCCTAGAAAAAATCTACAGGGGATCAACTGCTACCATAGTGCTTCATAAAGAAAGCAACAGAATACCAATCAAGAAGAGTGTAAGGCAGGGGGACACAATCTCCTCAATGCTATTTACCGCGTGCTTACAGGAGGTTTTCAGAAGCCTAGAATGGGAACAGTTAGGGATAAGAGTTAATGGAGAGTACCTTAGTAACCTGCGCTTCGCCGACGACATTGCATTGCTGAGTAACTCAGGGGACGAATCTCAACTCATGATTACGGAGTTAGACAAGGAGAGCAGAAAGGTGGGTCTTAAAATTAATCTGCAGAAAACGAAAGTAATGTACAACAACCTCGGAAAGGATCAGCGCTTCGAGATAGGTAATAGTGCACTTGAAGTTGTAAAAGACTATGTCTACTTAGGGCAGGTAATAGCCGCAGAGCCGAACCACGATATTGAAGTAACTAGAAGAATAAGAATGGGGTGGAGCACATTCAGCAAGCACTCTCAAATTATGACAGCTAGATTGCCAATGATCCCTGAAGAGGAAGATATATAACAGCTGTATCTTGCCGGTACTTAGCTACGGAGCAGAAACCTGGAGACTTACGAAGACGGTTCAGCTTAAATTGAGGACGACGCAGCGAGCAATGGAAAGACAAATGGTAGGTGTAACCTTAAGAGACAAGGAGAAAGCAGAGTGGATCAGGGGACAAACGGGGGTGAAGGATATCATAGTTGAAATAAAGAAGGGGAAATGGACATGGGCCGGGCATGTAGCGCGTGGACAGGATAAACGCTGGTCATTAAGGGTAACAAACTAGATTCCCAGAGAAGGGAAGCGGGTTAGGGGGAGACAGAAGGTTAGGTGGGCAGATGAGATTAAGAAGTTTGCGGGTACAAATTGGCAGCAGCAAGCACAGGACCTGGTTAACTGGCGGAACATGGGAGAGGCCTTTGTCCTGCAGTGGACGTAGTCAGGATGATGATGATGATGATCACGCTGATGATGATGATGATCATGATGCTGCTGCTGCTGCTGATGATGATGATGGTGGTGGTGGTGATGATGATGATGATGATGATGATGATGATGATGGTGGTGGTGGTGGTGGTGGTGGTGGTGGTGGTGGTGGTGGTGGTGGTGGTGGTGGTGGTGGCGATGATGATGATGATACTGAACGCAGCCGCAAGTTCTGTTTAGCATACTTACTCTTGGATTCGTTTTAATGAACTCTATATCTGTCTTTTTTTTTTCGCCAGCGAGTGCGAACGATGTGGAAACGGCCGTGCTATCATCGCCCGCAGTGAAGGAGGCATTTTTGCGAAAACTCTACGAAGTGTCCGACTTGACACCGCTGCGAGTACCGCGCGTCCTGGTAAGTTCGCTCCGTATACGTACGATGTCGCAGAGTGATTAAAAATAAATAAAATTTGGCCTCGTGGGTGGTTAGAATAAATGCACAACGTGGTACTGCCATGGTAAAACATCACCTATATTCAGTGGCTAGAGTGTCGAACGCGTTATTCCAAGGTCGCAGGTTCGGTCTCCGCCCGCGGAAAGCTGTCTTTTCGTCCACTTTTTTTCTTTCTTCACATTTACATTACAATCACTTCTAATATCATCCCCGTGTACTTCTTTTGCCATTATTGTCCGTTAGGTCTCATAATTATTGTGACAAACGAGGAAAAACGAGCCCTTAATTTTACGATTTCCTTGCCATAACTTCAGTAACGTCATATGCGTTAAATTTGTTCACTCGTTCATTCGATAATGCAGGTGCCTTGGCAGCTTTAATTTTACGTGATGGCTCATACCAAACGAGAAAAAAAGTAGGTCTCGCAAGGCTGGGTCAGCAGAGCTGGGGATACGTTACAGCTTCTCTTGTTAACCATGCGTAGCGATCGCTTAGGCGTTCATGGAGCACATGCCAGTTCCATGACGATGATGATTTTCTTAAGATGACACCCGGCAAAACCATGATCATAACGGCTATGCTGTTATGATGAACGTTTGAATAGCTCAAACCTCAAAGCTTGAATAGCTTTGATGTTTAGCGTAAGCTTCAGCAAATATTCTCACTCGCGCCCGAGACTGTAAAATTACTTGGATGACGTCATTGAAGACACCTGTATACGTCTTCGTATACGAGCAAAAAACTCTTCAAGGACAGGTCCGCGCACTTATTCCGTGAAACCTGGTGTGTAGAGGAGGAGAGAGCAGGAGCTCAATTGGCTGCGCCAGTGAAAGGAGTCGACCAATGGTGTCGCGCGCTCGAGCACACGTGGTACTGCTGAGAGAGGAGGAAGGGCGCACCGAGCGTTGGCGAAAGCGGAGGAGAGGTGCGCCGATGACACTAGCTCCGCTGTCAAATCAGCTTTAGTGACATTAAGTCAGTTGAAGCTGCACATTTTCTTCATCTCTCTAACCCTGCATCTTATAGCTGTGAGTAGGCGCTCTTGGTCTGTGCAATTTCTCGTTCTACTGTCCGTGTCTGTGTGTGCACCTTTATTCAGTTAAAAGATCAACCAATACCAACTAGCCCAACTTATCCCTGCATCTTATTCCTGAACAACTGCATTGTTCTGGCATATCAATATAACTCGTTGATTCTTTTTTATTTTTCTTCAGATTGACTACACGAGCAACATGGTGTTTTTGACGGCACTCATTCTAGAACGCCCAGCTATCACTGGTATGTATTGCACTGAATGAACCGTGTTGTTCATAAAAAAAAGTGATGGTTTGTATCAAGCGAGGTATGACTTACAAACCACAGAGGTCACGACGAAGCTTCGAACGAGAAATACCACTGAACCCAACGTCTGAAAATGTGAGCCTATGAATTCCGAGAAACTTGTCTCGCATCTCAGGCGCGTAGCCAGAAATGTTTTTTTTTTTGGGGGGGGGGGGGGGGCACCACATTGATTTCGGGACGGGGGCACGCCCTTAAAATGGCCATTTTTCGCTCTCGCGTCCCTCCTAGATAATATTCCAGTGTGACAACCAAACGGGTGTTCACGCTTGATACACCCGACCTGCGATTTGTTCTTGCCAGATGACTACGTGAAGAAAGACAACTTCGCCCTCAAGGACTCGGACTACGCGGAGGCTGTGCTCCCGCTCCAGGACTGTCTCAAGATATGCTCCAGCACTGGTCCGGAATGCACGTAAGCGTTTGTGTAACCAAGTCGTAGCAGGCGTATTGTAGTGGACTACTAAAGCAATCCAGCCTTGGGGGACCAGGGGAGGGTCGTACGGCTGCTGACCCGAAGGTCGCTGGTTCGATTCCGGCTACGGCGGTCGCATTTCTACGTAATGACAATTGTTCGTGATTGACGTTGCAAAGCAACTATATGATAACTGGAGACGTCGTAGTGAAGGCTGCGAAAAGTTCGATCAGCTGGTGGTTTTTTTTTAACGTGCCCCTAACTTCTACCGTGACCTAAACTAACTACACGGACCGCGAGCTTTTACGCTTGCATCGAAAATGCAGTCGCCACGGCAGAGATTCGATGCCTCGACTTTCGGCTCAACAGTCGAGCTCCATAACAGCTGGACCACTGTGGCGGGCGAAAAGAAACACTGAAGATCGGATAACAAAACACGTTGCACTGCCCGTGCTCTCATGTACTTGCCTTCTTGGCCTCGTAAAATATACCGCTATACAGTTTCTTTTTTAAGTTGGAAGATCGAATAAGCACAAGTAAGAACACTGGCGAACCATTGTCTTGTAGTTCTTTGATTCTTTTTGCTTCATTCCTGTCGTGCAATAAACTTTTTTTTTCATTTATCCCACCTGTCGTGCAATTGTTTTCTCTTTTTTTTTAAGATAGCCGTAGAAAATAATCTCAAAGGACTGTTTTGATTGCAGGGCCGTGTCGTACTGCGGTGCTTCGTGCTACACGACATCGATGTACAGTGAGGACGACACGCACAACCTGGAGAAGTCCGTCGACTGCGACGTTTACGCAAGTAAGCACTCAGTTGACTCGAGAACAACCGTGCCGATGCGAAGGTTATCATGCAGTTCGGTTGCCGTCGCCAGACGTTTTTTTTTTTCATCCACCTAATCTTTTCTTAATGTCATAAGTATGCCACACAGCGATGTTTAAAAACATGCAAATCGCACTTATATGCTTTCCATGGTATGGTTTTCTCCTCGCTTCATGTGGTTCATAATAATAATAATAATAATAATAATAATAATAATAATAATAATAATAATAATAATAATAATAATAATAATAATAATAATAATAATCAGTACATGTTAATGAATAATGATACAGATTTACCCTTATATCCTTACCCGTCTTTTGTTCAAATGTATAAAATAACGAAAGAATGGTTATTGTTCGAGGGGTTTCGTTTCTATGACATACGCAACCAATACAACCCAACAGCCAATTAAACGAATGCATCCTTTACATCTGTGGTATCCAAACCTACAACTTTCGAGTAATGCGTAAAGTTGGGGGTTGAGATCATCCCGGTGGTTTTCGTCCAGAGGAGTTCATTTCAACTACAACACCGCAGTTCAAAATAACATATACGATGTCTCTCATGCCTTGCTCTGTTTACTTTTCTGTTGGTTTCATTTAGTAATGTTTAGAATGGATACTGCAGGAAGCTATTAACTTGATTCTCTCGATTTTAAACCATCAATTCAGTTGACTATTGATTTATTTCATTTTGAGAATTCTTATGTTTTGTATATTTTTTAAACGAAGGTGTTTTATGCCGGGGTCCACAAAGACTTCAATGACATCATTTCCGTCACGGAAAGGACGTCAGTGAAATGAACCCGAACAGACGTCGCGTAAAACGAACGTGAACACGAAATACAACGTGGTCATTGACCCTAACTCCTCGAATGATGGAGATTAGGTGATAAACAACCATGGCCACGGGTCTTGGTCACTGTCTTCGACGTTATTATGTCGGGATGAAAATGGACCACCAGTCGTCAACGGCGGAGCGTGCATGTCGAACGGTGCCGTACCTGTCTAATACCCGTAGCAATGCGCAAGTTGTATATTTAAAGCACACATTCAACTGTTTCTTCGACGGCACATTTAACTTTCGTGTTATACCGATTCCTACGACAGGGGAATCAACATGCTTTTTTGTTTGTGTGTGCGTGCGACGCAGAGACAAAGCTGGGCTTGGCCCGCAAGCTTCCCATAACTCTGGATGCCATCCAGAATGTTGTTCAGGCGGTCGCCAGCAGCAAGTTCGTCCTCCTTGTGCGACACCGCATCGCTAGCTTCAGGGTAAGTGTGCTTCACTCCAGAGTTGATAATCTTTCGCCATCCGATTTGTCACTGCGGGGTAAATGCCGTTTCGCATGACGTAAAAAACACAGCTATTCTCCGGGTGCTAGTTGTCTCGCAGGAGAAAAAAAAAGTTTTAAGAAAGTCCGCGAAACACAAGAATACGAGAAATACTCATTCTAGTACGTCCAGCTATCACTGGTATGTATTGCACTGGCGAAGTTCGTGGAACTTCGCCACTTTCTCGTATTCGAGTATGTGTCGGACTCTGGGGCAGTGGCGGATCCACTATGGGGATGAGGGAGGGGGGGTTGTTTCTAGTGGGACCCCTACGAGCATAAATTAACAGTATTTGTGCTGCGATATAGGGTCCTTGCGATAATTGTAACAACTAAAAACAAAAAAAGTCGAGAGCCCCTTTCTCCGGTTTTACTTCAAGTGACCGCCCGCCTAAAATGAATGGCTGTATTAATTAATAACAATGACAATGGTAATCGTAACGCATATATTACAATGCTCAAGTAATACATATATGTGTAAAGCACTGATATTTTACATTGAGCGAGTGCTCATGGCATTGAATGAATGATCCCATTTCAGGTTCTAACGCTGACTGCCGAGACAACACATGATTCAATGGGATCACTTTCCCACACATTCGGCGCGAGTGATGAGGAAACCCGTGAGAGACACAAAAGAAGTACGTTCATTCATTCATTCATTCATTCATTCATTCATTCATTCATTCATTCATTCATTCATTCATTTATTTATTTATTCAAATGTTTATATTTAGTTATTATTTCAAGACTACGTTGTGATTAAATTACCCTAGTTCAGGTTAGTTACAAAAAATGATGGTCAAAGTCTCATTTTTTTAATTTCCCGCCGGAACTTCAGTGCGAGAGAGTCACTTTGACGTCACGAATTTTTAAGTGTTCTCGCGTATTTACATTACATGGTTTCAATGAAATTTGCACAAATTTGGTATGTCAGGACTGTTAGGCCCCTGAGAACACAATGAAAACAATTTTTGTCAACGAACTATTAAGCAGAGCCTCAGATTCACCGTCAATATCTGTGACGTCACGGCGAGCCAGTGCGGTATCCGCAGCCACTTGCATTACTATTTGCCGCGTTTTCTCGCTTACAAGGCGTCCTCGAGAAGTAAAAGTGGTACTTTCTAAATCGTAAGAATGTAATTTCCTTATCAGACAAACCTACTTTCTCTTTTTAGTGTCCCTGTAAGGGCTGACGTATAAGGATCACTGACCTCGCCTTTCTCGCTCGACAGTCGGTCCAAGCGTGCCGGGTTTCGACTCCTCCAATATGGGCATGCGCATCAAGGCGGGCGCCGATTCGGCGACGCCCGCTGGCCGGTTCGCGCTCGAGGACTGTGCTGACATCTGCCGGGACAGGGACGACTGCCGGGCGTTCTCCTCCTGCCTGGTGGACGACGAGTGCGTTCTGAGCACCGAGCGGACGCCCCCTACCGGCGACACAGAGAAGAAGACCGAGTGCGCCATCTTTTCTAGTGAGTACACGCCGGATAATAACTTTTATGGTGTTTCTACTTCCAAGACACCTGGACCGACCATCCGACCGACCTGACATATTGAGCCCTGTTGAAAACATTGACGAACCCACATGCCATTGGCCTTCTCGACCAACCGGAGTCGTCGTAGGTTGTGTTAAAACGAGAGAGAGAGAGAGAGAGAGAGAGAGAGAGAGAAATTAAGGAGGAAGGCGGGAGGTTAACCAAAGCTGAGGGAAAAAGTAGAGAGAGTGAGCGATGCAAGGAAAGGCAGGGAGGTTAACCAGACGCACATCCGGTTTGCTACCCTGCACTGGGAAAGGGATGAAGGGGAGAAAAGAGGTTGTGTAAAAACATAAGTAATGATGTCACACAGCAAGCTGGTTTCAAATTATTAGGGGACATATGAAACATTCGGCTCTGGTATATAATATACGGACGTAAAATACCAGTCAGCATAGCATAATTAGCCATACCTTACGCGTACAGAATGTAGTTAAGGTAACAAACATTGTTAATAATAATTATGCATCCGCGTGAGTAGGTGACACTACGTGTGGTGATGCAGGGCCTACGGAATCAAGTGTGTCAGCAGTTTACGTACCCTTGAACTCTTGCATTGAATAAGCGCAGTACTTCAAGTATGTGACTGACTGGACACCGTATTATTGAGTCTTTCTTCCGTTCCCTGTCAGCTAAGTGTTCACCCTATAGTACTAGGTATACCTACGAATTAGCCTGCTTGAATTAGCCCACTTGAAACTATAGCCCATCAATTAGCTCACTTGAACTACCAATTAGCCCACCTGAATTACAGAAACCTGTGCAGTCGGAAATTCTAATTCTAGGGAAGCTCAAGCATTTTTTTAAAGACTTTGGAGGACGTAACCACACTTAGATCGCTGCTGACTTCAAGAATTAATGTGGGAGTTTTCAAAAAGATGCGCAAGTACCATATTCTGGCTCAAGAACAGCGGCTATGGCCGCAGGGTTTCTTAAGTGCCGCGCGAATGCGGTTGTAGAACCATTTGCAACAGCAGCAGCTCTGTCGAAGCGGGGCTTCTCCAATTAGCTCCGCCAGGAAGCTGACCGCGGAGGCCATGGTTGAAGATACAAGATACACTCGTTAATACCGCCCTCGGCTATTTGTCGTTCTCGGGGATATTTCGAACTGCTTCTCTATACTTACGTATGCTTTCGGAGTTAGCATCAGTAAGCGACGGCAACCTTCCGTCGGAGTGTAGCACGACTTCACCTAGGGAATCGAAGGTGGCGTAGTTCCGGTTACTTTTTTTCCCCCGCCCGCACTTTAGACCCCTTTTGTGGGTGGACGAAGACAGACTTTCCTTTCGCGTCTTCTAAATTCGCTGCTGTAACAACAGCGAAAAAGAAAACAACAAAAAATGCGACATGCATTGCTTTGTTATGAATATTTTTGTATATATTTTAGAGTTGTAATTCTATTATTTGCTGTCATGGGTCACATGCGTGTTTCTTTTTGTATTGTCGCTTTCCGCTGCCCCTAACGTTTGTAATTTCTTGTAAATTTGTAGTTTAGATGTTTTTCTGGGTGAAGGGGCCAGTCAAGCTGTGAAATGCAGCTTTTTTTCCCTTCGCACCAAACCACGTATACATTGCATTTTCGTGTACTTGTCACGTGGTTGAATAAACTCAACTCAGACTCAAACATCGTCGACAATAGAGTTAGTCCTCGCTTAGCACGTGGTTTTAGTGAACCCTAAACCCACTTCAGCTCCCTTCGAGGTATCGATCGCACTGCTCTGTGTATGCCTTACAGAGAGGTACACTGAACAGCTTCAACGTCTTCGAGGGCATGTCGCTGGACATGAAGGCGCGCAAGTTCGCCGACGTGCCAGCCAACGAGGACTGCGCGCGCCTGTGCCTGTACGAGAAGGAGTTCGAGTGCAAGTCGTTCGACTACTGCACCATGACCCGGGACCCGGCCACGGTGTGCAGGCTGCACGACACGCACCTGCGCGAGTACGGAGACCCCGCCAAGCTGGACGCAAAGAACGCCGAAAAGTGCTTCCATTACTCGAGTGAGTGGCCGGTGTGTACGTGCCGCGAGATACGACGTGCGCGTGCGTGAGGGAAAAAGAAGAAGAAGAAGAAAGTAGTTGCGTCCTGTCGTTTTACAGCCCAAAACTACGTTGTGTTTGAAAGACCATAAGCCTTTTAGTTAAGATCCTGCCGCCCGGTTCTTGGCCGATCCCCCTTTGTGGTTGTGCGCCAGAGTATTAAGGATCATCATCATCATCATCATCATCATCATACAGAGAAAGCTGTTGTGAGATCGCAACAGTCGATTTTGGTGGCGCAACTGTCCGTCTGCACAAGCCGGTGTCCTTAAGAAATATCGCGCGAAATGAGAAAACAGCAGTGCATGGTTGTGTAAGGACAAAACTGTTCTATAAGCCTGCTTTGTATTGTGTATATCCCATGAATCACTTCGTAAGTTGAAAGTGAACTGTGTTTATTGTTATGTTGACGTTTTGAAATGTGCACTTCTTTATTGTAATATTTTATCCACCTCCCTACTGCAATCCCGTTAAGCGCCGTGGGCACTGTGATAAATAAATAAATAAATAAATAAATAAAATAAATGAATAAATAAATAAATAAATAAACAAATAAATAAATAAATAAATAAATAAATAAATACCCAGGATTGAGCGAGAACTGCTCTCGGGATATCTGCGTGACAATCCGGTATTCAAACAAAGAGTCATGCCAGTGCTTGGAACTCCGTCCCTAAAAAAACCTTACACAGGCTTCGTGTCGCGCAAGGTGCCTCTCTAACAGATGTAAGATAGTCAATAAAGAAAAGGAGTAAACAACAACAGTCGTCACGCATGGTGGTGGTTCAAAGCATCCCGCCATTGCAAAGGTTCTTAACGCTTCATCGTCATCAGCCACATCATCAAAAAGAGCACATAATGTCCTGCAGATGTGTAGCGTCTGCCTCCCTTCTCCGTAGAACTGGGAATAACGGCAGAGTTAGCCTGCTTGCCCACATCGCAAAAAGTATGACTCGTGGCATAGTACCCTGCAATTATCTCTGTAGCAGTCAACCCAAGAATGCTTACAGAGGGCTGTTGTGAGGCAGCTCCTCTCCATAGCTTTCGCTGGGTCTCAAGCCGCGTGTACTGTGAAGGCCTGGAGTTTTTCTAAAGCTGCAGTGGCAGTAGACTTGTACGTACAGGAGGCATTTGGTAATGGTTTTCGATGATAGAAAAAAAATGTAACACTAGCCTTGTCACCTACCATAATATCTTAGCAGGTGCGGTGTTGTGTTGCTCGACACCTTGATTGATATTCAGCACCACATAATCTCCCTTCTAGTTCGTATGATGCTATTCAACTGCACTTTCCCTTGTGTAACAACGAAACTACGCCATCGTACTGGTTATAAAAATGTATCACCAAAAAGAAAGAAAGAAAGAAAGAAAGAAAGGAAGGAAAAGAAAGAAAGAAAGAAAGAAAGAAAGAAAGAAAGAAAGAAAGAAAGAAAGAAAGAAAGAAAGAAAGAAAGAAAGAAAGAAAGAAAGAAAGAAAGAAAGAAAGAAAGAAAGAAAGAAAGAAAGACCGTCAGTAACGCGCACGTCCTATCGATGTGTCATTTGTTCACGTGTCAATTCTCCCTGCAGAAAAAAAAAAAGTATTAGTTGTTTGGCTATGAACCGTATTTCTCTTTCTGCCTCTCCCTCACCAAAAGGTCGCGGGCTCGTATCCCGGCTTTCGCTGCGTATCGACGGCAGTGAAATGCTATAGAGCCTCGGGTCTCCAGATTTACGTCGCAGAACGTGGTCGAAACTTCCGGCAACAGTCAGCTACCGCGTCACTCGTAATCGTGTCGCGGATTACGGACGAAAAACGGATTACGGACGATTACGGAGGATCGAGAAATGTTTTATGCTCATTGCGCGAAACCCTTCCCCCACCCAATAACCGTCATTCCACACGTATCTGTCTTACAGAAAAGTACCTGTACGACTTCAAGAAGACGAAGAACCAGCGGATAACGGGCCGCCAGCAGTTCACCGTCATCAGCGCGGTTTCGGCCGAAGAGTGCGCTCGCCAGTGCTGGGAGGCCACGTTCGAGTGCCAGGACTTCGACTTCTGCTTCGCCTCCGGCAAGCAGAACATGGGCGTCGGAACGTGCACCCTGTACGTGCGAAGCGACGAGCCGGCCAAGACTATCATGTCGCCAGTGTGCTCGACGTACGCTTACACCGGAAACCGTGAGTGGATGTGCCGTCTTAAGTGGGGACGTGGCAATGAAAATTGTCTTTGTTACTTATGAAGCTAAAGAGATGAAACGTACGCCACGAAGATGTCGTTTGGTGTGCTGATATCATAACTGAAATTGGTTTTGAGCCATCTAACATGACTTTTAAGTTACAACACTCAATAGACTCTCATTGCCACCCCAAAATCGAATAGCTAATTAGACACAAGTGCGTCGAAATGTTCACATAAAGATATTCACAAGGGTCTATTTTATGCCGTAATGCTATTGGTTTGTTTTTAATATTCGGGTGAGCACACAAAAAGTTTTTTTAAATGTCCTAGACATATTGTCTTGCCAACAACTTTAACAAAAAGCCAATTACAAAAGCTTTAATGGTGTGCACACAGATATGGACAGCTTTATGGCACTCACCAATGTCTCAGAGTCTAAGTTCACAAAATGGAATGCCAATAGCTTACTCTGTTGTGAAATGCCACAGGGATGACTGACAGCAACTGCGCCAAAAATGAAAGCTGAGAAAATGGAGCTCGAAGAAATTGGAGCTAGAAGCAGATAAAACGCAACTCGGAAGGAAGTTGACTTTATTTTTCATTGAAAAATGCATCTTTGTGGCTATCTTGAGCTTCGATTTGTCCTCCTTATGATGAAGCCAACATGGTGACACTGTGCCAAACGAAAACTACAAATTTGCATTGGGCTATGTCCAATTTTTACGTAGCTTTTGACGACAGCCCACCAGTAAAATGCTTGTTTCTCTACTTCTACTACTTATTTTGGTCTAAAATCACACTATGATGTAATGCATGGTCTCAGGATTACAGAAAAATATTATTTGGGAAACTGAACATTTTGACCAAATTCACAATCCTCATTACCCCGTCCCTCTTTAAAATTCAACATTGTGGAGGCAGCCCGAAACATAGACGGCGCTAATTACTTACTTATTTAAAATGAACCAATGAACGATTGAATGCACTGCAGAACAAATGGTGTGGTGACTAATTAGCACTTTGTATTTGCGTAAAAAAACTGAGATCGCGTAACCAAATAGAACGTACGAGTTGTTCTAATGGTACTGAGTGAATGAATGGATAGATCAAACACTTAAAAAAAAGCGTGCAAGTGTGTGGAAAGGAAGGCAAAACGATTAATGTCCAAGTTTCACCTAAGGGCAACCGCTGCAATGTGCAAGCCAAATAATGTGAATGAGGAACAGGCGTCGAGTTGCGCACGTACTACGTTAGCACATTTCTTAAAAATCAGGATTGCGTCATATACCACACCGATTGACATGCTAATCCCACACACCTGAACCGTACCACTCCGAAAGCTGAACGTTTAGTCCTCCTTGGTGGAGCAGAGGGGACAGCGATTGACTGCTGTGCCGAAGGCCACCAGTCTGATCCGGGCTATGGTGGTTTCATTTAAAAAGGTAGTGTAGAGCCAGAAGCCGGTGTATAGTGTGGCATGTCAGTACTACAGTTATAGAACATCAGAGGCTCAAAATTTCAAAAGCCTTCTTATACGGCACGCTTCACCATCATATTGTGGTTTTGGGACGTAAAACCCCAGATATTAGCGTTGTTCATGTTTAAAACTTTTTGTAGCACGCACAAATGGGGGCAACGCACGGAAAGGAGAAACAAACTAGCGCTAATTGAACAAACAAAGAGACATAGGAGCTGGGCAAATGAGCGTGCAGCTATTAGTTTTACTGTAATAATCATTGTTCTTAAACTATGAAAATTACGTTTTGAAGCTTCGCCCAGTGATTATTTGATGTTGCTTTTTTTATTGATGTCTTTTTCGTTTCAGCTGACCTCATCCAACCAAAAGTCTACGCGTTGAGTGCGTCCCTTCACAGCAATGGTGAGTCCAGTACGGTCTTCTTAATCTTAAAGGGTGGTAGCAAAACTGTTCAGCATCATCAGAAAACGCTGCCGATTCAGGCTCCCGAGAACACGTGCTCCAAACATTACAGTGCAGCACGTCGCCTGGAATTCACGGTTATTTTCAATCACAGTCAAAGATCGTTCCCTCTTCTATCTACAAATGGAGTCATGTACCCTAATGACCGGCAATACACCCAGTTGCATGGCCACCGGCTCATTTGAGCATCGGGAGCTGCACAGTTATCGAGGCCACCGTGGGAGGCCGCCACCTGTCTGCACGCACTCACGATCACCCTGAATGTAAAGGGCGTATTCGAAGACAGAAAAAAAAACTTCAAGCTCATGATGCGTGTTTGACGTAATTTCTTTCTCCCGTACAATTTATCTACAGCTGCTTAGCACATATCGCGCTCGTCGGGGCGAAAAAAAGATAAAAAGAAATTACAGCGTGCGAAAACGCTTACTCCTCTCGTACCTAATGCATTCTGAAATTATCTCTGTGGACGATTCGTGAGGCGAGGAAAACATTTAATGGAGCCATTCAAAGGTTACCTGGGAAATCGTTTCAGGGCCCCTTTAAATGAAGATTTTTTTCTATTGGATCAACAAAAGACGGAAATTCAGGAAATGACTGAGGCTCGAAATGGCGAGTTCTTGCCCGAGAATTGTCCCCGGAACCAACGTTTCCATAAGTTCAAAACTGTATAAAGTTGTGATTATCTGTTTCGTGTCATGCGTAATTTTTTTGTCTGTGTTATGTTTATTTGTGTATGTTATGCCATACAGAATAACTTACTTTGCACGACTATATATTTGTCTTCTACATTGCGCTGTTTTTAAATACGAAGCGTGAACCACCAACTAGCCAAACTTTCTCTCCTAGCGCTTCTATCGCACATGCGTGTATGTGAACTTATTTTACAATTTGTGCCTCGTGTGCGGTTCGATTGTAGTGTGTTTTCACATCTTGTGTTTTATTACGTAACAAACTTTTGCGTTATTTTTATCTACATTTTGTCGGCGTAGCGAGAAAGTGAAGCGATATTCACTTTATATCCCAGCACGCCGCCATTGTGAGTCTGCAAACAAACATGACTCAAACTCCATATCAAGGTGGCCTACTGATGTTATCGCTTCGCCGTTTCAGCAACGGCCGGAGGCCTCTCATTCTTCATGGTGCTGCTTGGAATCGGAATTGGGGCCGCCGCGCTATTCGCCTATGGATTCTACAGGGCGCACCAGGCGAACCGAGTCTAGACAACGGACTCGAACCTTCGACATGAAGGGGAAGAAGCGTTACACGCCTCCCCCCCCCCAAACTCATCGCAGCATCTCCCTGCTCACAAGACCATTATTTATGACCTCATGAGTCGACGTGAAACGAAAGAAAAAGAAACAAAAAAATCTCATCACTCGTTCTGACCCCGTGATACCACAGAATGGACAGCTTTGTCATCCTTAAAAACAAAGACATGTCGAGTGCAAAATCACAAAACAAGTTTCGTTTTTTTTTGCTTTGTATTTTATTGGGCTTCTCATATTTCTCGTCATCTCGTATTTGTATAAATACACAAAGGAATACCTGTGTGGTGTCTGTGTTTTCGATTATTGATGTGGAGATGTTCTTTACCTGCATTTGTTCCTGTGTATGCGGTATTTCTGAAAGTTTTCTTTCTTTCAGCTTTTTATTATTCACGAGCTTGGGGTAGCCGGCTCACAAGTCGCATACGCCTGCCAGAATGTACAAGTCTCCCCTTCGACCCCCCCCCCCCCACCCACAAAAAAGCAATTTTCGTAAAATTTGTAGACCTATATAAAAACTTATCGAGTGATTGAGTCACCAAATGGGTGACGGCTTATAAATGCATCCAAATTACACGATTTCACACAATGGTGCCTCTGTGGTCCCCTGTGTAAGAGTCACTATAGTTATGCTTTCTACATTTTCCAGTCGCTACTCCCAACTAGAGCTGTAAAAATCATTCAAGCTGACAGTTGATTATACCACACGGGCTTCATTGCGACAATCATCGTAAGGATGCTAGAGACATCTTTGCGCCGTAGGTGTGGCGTTGCAGTGCTTGCCTTCTATCGAAAACACATCGAAAACACATGGTCCCACGCCGCTTCATCTCCAAAAGCAACGATGTTCCAAAAGGCGCAACGCCTACGGTTGACCTATGGCTTCGAGTATGTGCGAGGCCACGAAAGCCCTCTTGCCCTTCTTGAAGACCACTGGACTTAACGACTGCCTGTGAACTAACAGCGTGAGTTCGTGTTGTGTACTACTATGTGTGCAGCCTCAAGCTGACTGTTTATTCATCTCTTTCTCGCATCTTCTCACTTTCGCTTATCCATCCATCTCCCTTCTTCTCTATCTTTTCCTTTCTAATATTCCCCCTTTCCCCCACTCCAAGTGCATGGTAGTCAACAGAGCTAAAGCTTAGTTAAGCTCCCTGCCTTTTCTCTTCGGTTCCCTCTCACTCCTCTCAATTGGCTCTTCCGAAGTCAGGGCAACGTTTCCATCCCCAATAAAAAAAAATACCGATGATATTGTTGTCTCGGCCTATCCTGTCCGCGTATTTGTTTGCCAGCACAATATTCACAGTTCAGCGCAAGTACGCACGCCCTGCAGAGTGAGGTGAGCGTTAAGTCAAAACTGTGTAATCCTCACCACTAGCGAGGACCGAACTCACAATCAGCTTCGCATTACGTCACAAGACGGCAAGTAGTCTTTTTTCCTACACTTTATCGCACATTAAGCGAACGCCTCTTAATTCGGCCGCCGTACGCGATAAAGTCTGCCTGTACCCGAAGCTGTCTCTAACGGGGGGCCTGTCGGCATCAGCCGTTTCTTATGCGGCAACCCGATCTTTCGTCGAGATGACTTCACATTTCCCGTTGCAACGTTTCATCGTGGCCTGGATATGAAGTCATGGCCGCCGTTGTTGCCCGTCGCAACTGAAGTGTGTCGCTGCTAGGCCCTTGAATAATTAAGGTCAAGGTTAAGGATGTTGTAAGTAGCCGGCGGATCTAGCCTTGCATAATTTGCAGGCAATTGCCCCACCCGGTTTTCTCTTTGCGAATTATAGGTAATGTCCTTTGTTTGTTTTTTAACTAAGCACGAGCGGGCTTTTAAAATAAAAATCGAGCTCATAGCGCGACGTAAGCCAGCATAAGACAGCGGCCTTTGTGCTATTCCACGTGCAGTATTGTGCCGGCACCCTATCTCGCTGCACTATACCCCAAACATAACTGTCACTTATCACCAGTCACATGCGGGGTCTGTAGCATTCAAAAATTTCAAGAGAAGTCGCGACACCTGTTTCCTGAAGATCGAGGAACCACGCGGAAACGCAATATCAGTCACGCTGTCACATGGTCCTTGAATAATGGTCCAGTTCTCGTCGTGGTAGTTATGGAAGTTTCTTATGCGGCAACCCAACCTTTTGCTGAGATGAATTCACATTTCACGTCGCAACGTTTCATCGTTGCCTGGATATGAACACATTGCAGTCGTTGTTGCCCGTAGCAACTGAAGTGTATCGCTGCTAAGTCTTTGAATAATGGTCCAGTTCTCGTCATGGTAGTTATGGAAGCGCACCTTCCTTCTTTTTCGGACTAACGGCCGGTCCTGACGAGTGTTGTCAGTTAGTCGAGAGTATAGTAACTGACAACCTTGTGGTCGTGACGTCGAGCTGGTGAGATGGCATTCACAGGTCAGTCACTCCACAGCGCACTTTGTGATCGCCCAATAATGGGGTGAGCTAACCACGTGTTTACCTGTAGCGCTCGTGTAGGGCCACTTTCAAGCATTTCGCGTCACTGCTCAATGATTTCTGATTCGTGAAATAAATATATGTAAGCATAAGTGAAAGTAGTCAGTGTCATTGCAGCAGCAGCAGCAGCAGCAGCAGCAGCATCAGCGGCGGCGGCGGCGGCGGCAGCGGCAGCAACAACAACAACAACAACAACAATAATAATAATAATAATAATAATAATAATAATAATAATAATAATAATAATAATAATAATAATAATAATAATAATAATAATGTATGAAAAACTTTAGAGGTTTCACATCCCAAAACCACGGTATGAATACGAGGGACGCCGCAGTGGAAAGCTCCGGAAATTTCCACCCCCTGGGGTTCGTCCCGAATGTACCCACATATAAGTACACGTGCCTCTGGTATTTTAGCCTTCATCGAAAATACGGCCGCTGCAGCCGCGATTCGACGCAGCGACCTCCTTTGGGTGAGCAGTCGATGCACAAATGCCACATGACCTCTCATACCTGTGTGCAAACATACGTAAATGTAGCGAATGCAATAGGTGGCTGTACCACCCACGTGACTAATGATAAAGAAAGATAACACGCAAACACACTTCACGTGCACACGGTGCACACGCACGCACGCAGAGATAGAGAAAAAGAGAGAGGTTCGGATGGTTTTTTCTTGCTATCGCTGATGTCTTTTTTAACTTGTAACGTGCGGTCAGCTAGCTACCCTGCTTCGGGAGAATGGAGAAAAAGGGATGGAAAGAAAGAAAGAGAGAGAGGGAAGGAGGGAGAGAGGGAGGGAGAAAGGGACTGAGGTACCATCAAGGTAGACTCGTAGAATAAAGTGCATGGTTTAGATTTGCTCCGCCAGGTGCCGCAACCCTTCTAGCTTTATAAAATGTTCGACCAGCTAAATTAGTTATCATTAACTGCCCTGCCACTTCATTGGCGCTTAAGTTAAATTACACTTCGATATCATATTGTCACAGGGTCATGACGCTGACGAAGGAAGAGACTGCTTGACTAAACAAGTGAAACTTTATCCAGCCGAACTTGTGGCTGGTAAACAGATGGCCATACAGTTCACTGGGATGCGCACTGGCACTAATAGCGGTGAACAGAGCGCCCCTCCGCGGTGGTCTAGTGGCTAAGGTACTCGGCTGCTGACCCGCAGGTCGCGGGATCGAATTCCGGCTGCGGCGACTGCATTTTCAATGGAGGCGGAAATAGGCCCGTGCGCTCAGATTTGGGCGCACGTTAAAGAACCCCAGGTGGTCAAAATTTCCGGAGCCCGCCCCTACAACATCTCTCATAACCATATGGTGGTTTTGGGTCGTTAAACCACACATATCAATCAATCAAATCAGCGGTGAACAGAGCGTCGGCCGCCTATCAACTGACAAACGCTGAAGCACGTCGGCATTTATAAATGCTGCCGTCGAATATTCCAGTGCAACAACAAGCGGCCGCGTAAGTTCAAGAATAATCTGCAATGTTCGCGTTGTGCGCGTAATCTTAACGAAATAATCTACTACAGCCCCGAAGGTTCTCAAACAGTGCAGATGCGGTTGCGCTGAGAATTACTTCCAGTGTAACGAGGCAATGACAAAACATGTGGATGAATTGGCGCGATATGCATCGCATTTTACACTGAACATTAACCAGAGCCATTGATATTTTTATTTTTCAGAAAAATTTTGGTGTATATTGTTAAAAGTGTTCCACCGAATCTGCTTGGAAGAGAAATAAGAGTATGTCGGGGCATATGACGGCTCCTTACCACGTCAACGCCATTCGCACACTTCGATCTATCTGTTATCTCCACTTCTCACTGCCTCCTCTTCACACTGCTTCATCACATACCGAGCCATGACGTGATGACGTCATCACATGGCGTCATCATGACGACACGTATCTTCAAATTGTGTCACTTCATCATGGTATCACTGTGACGTCACACGATGACGTCATCACGTGACATCACTGCTTGGCCGAAGGTGGGCCGATCCCGGAGGCATTACAAAACAAGGTGCACAAAGCTTACAATGCCTCAATCGTGGCTGCACTGCTAAGCCACGTAAGCCATTGAAAGCTTTCGGGGGGGGGGGGTGCGAAACGTTCAAAACATTTCAAATAGAAAAAGAAGATGACATGAAATTGTAGCCTCATGAAATTGTAGCCGCGTCCAGGGAAACATTCGCCACCGCGCTGGAACATCATATTTTATCGTAGCCTGAGCACACATTAAAGTTGGCTACACTTTCATTTCATCTCTCTAGCGATCTACGCTTCAGGTTTTTTTTTTACCTTCACACACGTCAATGTTTATTACGTGTCACCATTGGATGCTTTATTATGTATCTGTATTCTTTTATGTTCAACTCAGTGTCGCCTTTCTGCATTTCGAAATCGTTATCTCCCCCCTACACTAATGCCCCTCGCGGGTGCTGTAGGTACTGTAAATAAATAAATAAATAAATAAATAAATAAATAAATAAATAAATAAATAAATAAATAAAAGATGACGGATGTCGCCTCCGAGTCGACTGAGGCAGACGAATTAAAAGCCTTCCCTCCCCCCTTTTTTTAATGCCTGCTTCCTAGCAGTCGACGGGAAAAGTGAAACAAAGAAATTAATCAGCGGCTATACTAGGTTAACCTTTTCCTAAATTCTCACTGTAGTTAAGAAATTGAGCGACGTACTTGTTGCTAGTAAAAGGGGGCAATAACCACCCACCCTCGTACTACCATGCCACCCACCTTGGCGTTATCGGTGATCGCGTGCCGTTCGATAGTTCGTGGGCACTTCGAACACCTCCTTATCTAATCGGCAGCGGTCATTGTTTCTCTCGTCACTCCCTTTCTTGCTCGGGCATCGTGACGTCTTTCGTGGAGAAATGCGAACGCGCCTTATCCTCGTCCGTAGAACAATAGAGAGAAGGCTCGCGCGTCGGCGTTTTCCGCATAGTGTGTATAGACCTTACAGGTGCGGCGTGAGACGGGGCGTATAGACCAGTCCTCGTAGACTGCACTGCGTCATCTGCGTACTCTCATCTGGGTCAACACAAAACACACGGTGAGGCGTCTTGAAACACTAATGCGGCTCATTCTGGAATACGCGTCGATAGATGGACTTTCTTTGGGGGATTTGTTTCTGGGATACAGCGACGGGAAAGTTGCGGATGAATTGCGGGAGTTCGAAAAGATTCCGACTGTAGAGACAAATATTACTCCTAAACTACTTGTTTTCAAATCGCTTTATTTAATCCTCTATTTATTGTTATCTGCTTCATTTTCTATATCCGTGATTTCTAATTGTCAATTTCTAAATTAGTCTCTCCATGGTCCCTAATTATTTTAAAAAGTAAAGCTAACAAAGTAATTGTATTTTGTTAGACTACCCGGTTCTCGGCCAATCCCCCACCGTAGGTGTGTGCCATAAATTCTATCTTCTTCGTCTTCTTCTTGTGTGGAACCCTTTGCAGAAAAAAATGACGTTCACAAGATTGAGTATGTACAACCTATAGCCGTTCGTTTTGTGTGCCTCAGATAGGACAGATATTTTCGCCTTCCTCTAAATGTGGGGTTTAACGTCCCAAAACCACCATTTGATTATGAGAGATGCCTCAGTGAAGGGCTTTGTGAATTGCGACCACCCGAGGTTCTTTAACGTGCTTCTACTAACCTTCCTTGTCTTAACCTGATTTCTTCATAAACACGTAACCGCATGACATTTTGCAAATTTTTGCACCTGCTACCTCGTCACGCCGCAAATGTTTACAGAACCACGTCAGTGCGTTGATCTTTTTCGTACCCGTACCTCTAACAAACTAAAACGCTTAAACTAAAATTGGCATGCTTAAATATACTTCTTTTCTCCCTCAACAAGGGAACCCAGAAATGGTTCACTATAAAAAAGTGTTCATGACTTGCCGTGTCGAGACTTTTTGTGTCGCACCTGATGTGTGGTGTACAGTCCCAGATCCTGCTATAAACCAAGAGGGGCTACAACTTTTAAAAATAGAAAAATATTTGTTGTCTCTATAGCGTTGGGGGTTATAGTAAACGTAATTGGTAACCGTTTTAATTTTGATAAACTGGAAAACTCGCAGTGTGAGTCGACAGGCTCTGTTGAGTGCACGTTTGCTTGATTAGTACGTTCCAACTTAGATACAAGTAAGAATAGTGACAGGACACCGGCTTAAAAAGACAATAGAAAAGACAGCCGAATTTCATCGCAATGATAAATTACTCCACCACTACACGAAAGGTACCAGGCTAGCCATTTTCCTCCGAGGGGCCAAAGACTTAACATGCTAAGTTTCAGGAATATTATTTGAGCCGCGATGTCACCAAATACTCAAACGACACTTCGCAATTCGTGACCTCACGCGGAAAAAATTCGGCGTAGAAATTAAGACCCCCCAAAAAATAAATATTACTCTTTATTTTATCTTCCTAATTAAAGCTATGACGGTTAAAATAACGACATCAGAGTTTTTCAATATAAATTTACCAGGTTAATCCAATCCATTGTTTCATATATACTGTGCCTTCAAGTTGGCCCACTTGGGATTCTTCAAATTGTACCTTAGCCCCAGTAATGAATCGATTTCTCCATAAGTTGACGCCCTGCTTATTTGACCGCTACGGCCCTATTTAGAATCTTCACAAACGCGTGTTGAATAACCTGAACATCTTAACTCCACCATCACCGCGGGTTGTATTAGTATTTGCCCCGATATTACTGAAATCAAAGAGAATATAATGTGCCGTCGACTTGTGGGATACGGAGGAAAGAAAAGCATAACCCACACATGTGTTAGCACGCGTGCGTTAAACCTAGCGTCCAGTTTCAAGTATGCGTCTTGTATGTGCTTACCTTCCTTGGTACGTTTGACGCTTCGATTTCATCACTGAACAGTATTCAACAAATCCATTCGAGGATGGGAGCCTTGGCAGCAGTCCTTAATGGTTTCACTCTATGTGTACTGTGCAAGCAAGGGCGTGGACATTTTTTGTGGGTGCAGATACGGACGCGGCTATGAAGGCTGCTGGGGGCGCTGTGTTTGCGAACACGCACCAGTACGAGCGTACTAGTGGTCACGCAGAAACACGGATACGTGTATAGAGGTGGAACAAAACAGCCGCTAAAGAGGGAACGAGACGAAGGTGCAGGCTGAATTGTGACCATTTGTCTAGGTATACGTACATGGGTGGGGATACCAGCAGTGCCGACGTTAAGGACCACTTTGCGCCGAACTGGCTACATTGCGGTCCGTTTGGCGACGAAAATTGCCAGTTGGCGGCATGACTATTTTCTGGGTACCTTTTAAGTTTCTCGCTTTAAGTATTCAAAATGATTTTATTTGTTCATCAACAGTAGAGACTATGTTCATATTAGCGTTCCCGTTCTATTTGGCTATACGAATTCCGCGATAATGTTAAATGTCGTCGCTATACTTTGGATACCCGGCGCTTGAATTCTGGTGCCTCTTGAAGTCCACCCTGGACACGAGCGTGAAGACGTGTTTCCGACACGACGACTGAGTCATTCTTGGGCATTGCATCGTAGAGCTTACTAGGGCTGCCTCAGCGAGTGGGTTTCTCGGCCTATACAAACCTTCTATAACTGACTGAAAACATTCGTTACCGTATGATTATCAGATTATTTCTAAATGACTGCCATCGCATACAAAGGCGTTCGCCGTTCGCGGGCAGGGTCGTCAAGAAATTTCACTTCATCTACTAGTATAACCAAACGGCTCAAACGGTTGGCAGCACGCTTCCGATTATTACGTGCACAGCGATACGAGATGCAGATATTTTTTTTAATGACTAACTACAATGCTTGTAAGGTCTTGTTAAAGTGCAATAGTTTGCGATGTAGATATATATGTGGTCAAATCCTACGCAATTTTCTGGTATTCTGTTCTTGTTTTATTTTTGTTTTTGTTACCCGCATCGGCTGTCTAGTGGATACGGTGCTCGACCAATGACCAATGGTCGCAGGATCGAATCCCGTTTACGGCGGCCACCGTTTCGACGGAGGTGAATACGCTAGAGGCTCGCGTACTTTGATTGCTGAACATTTTTTTCAGAATAGTAGTAAAATCAGAAGGGCTGGACCGGAAATGTTTGGAAGAAAAGAAACAGTTTCACTCAGTGCTCATGCCAGCAACAGTTTGTTTGTGTCTGTGGGATGTTATATTATGCGAGTTTGGAACAAATTGTCTACAACGTTCATTCATTCATTCATTCATTCATTCATTCATTCATTCATTCATTCATTCATTACAATTCTGCTGCTCTGATCGTTAGACTTTTGGCAGGAGTGGGTGCAAGTGAATACAAAAAATGATGACAATAAACACACATGGGGCATTGCGGCCATAGCAACAAAACCTCGGTTAGCGAATGCATTAAGAAAAATGGCAAAAATGAACATAAATAAAACATTATATAGTTTTTAAATAACTAATGAAAATGTGGATGCATAAACAAACGGAAACATAGGATGCTACACGTCCCTTATACTACGCTCTTGGATGAAAAAGAATTATTTGATCACCGGGCCCCACCTTTTTTTTTTTTTTTTAGTCCTTAGGTATCCTCAGTTTGGCTTTACCTCCTACACTGGTTCAAGAGTGTTGCACTCTGTACTTCAATTTGGCGAGTGCAGCTTGCACCACCTGCACTTCTGCATTCGATTTGACGTCGTGCTGCACGAGTACATCGGCACTTCAGCACTAGCTTCCCTACGAGTTCTCGTCTCCTCGTGCAAGTAGCGCGAGGTATACACTGCGTGTCTGCACTTTTGCCCTCGATTCGACCGCTGCACCGAAACCGCTTGGGTCACAGTGCTCTCACACGGGTGGCACTGGCGCTGCGCCTTCGTGAACCGCGTTCAGAAAGTGCGGCCAAATCAGGGAGACTTCCGGCTGGCTCGCCACGTATAAGAGTTTTTTTTTTTTTATTGAACACGTAAGTTATCTTAGGTGACGCTCTTTTCAGAGAGTCGGGGCACCCAAAGAAGAGATAGAATCTCTCTTTAAACATTAAAGGGAGTCATATGCGTGACAAGCCAAAATAACCTAAAACACTAGACATATCCACTTTTTTTAAAGCGTACAGCAAAGCAGTAATTCATCCCATGTTTTATAGAAAAGTACACTTTATGCATGTGTGTTTTTTTTTGTAAGAAAGTTTAAAGGTGTAGAGTAATATGTACTGTACTATGCGAGGGCGATTGGTTGTCCCCAATATGCAATATAAATCACGCGAAGGTGGGGGGTTAGAAAAAATATTTAATGATGTCGAGTACATCGTACTCAACTATGGGAGAGCACTGAGCCATCCGGCTAAAAGCTGGCCGTGCTAGACGGCTTCCGGCATTGTGGCCATGTAATTGTGCAGGCATATGTATTGCATAGTGCGATGAAACTCGAACCATGCCCTTTCTTTTCAGGCTATGGTGTCATGGGCCTTTCCAGCGGTGCTCGCGTTCACAGCGACGCTTTCCATACTGTCTACCGGACAGGCCGACTGCGATGCAAAGCCGAAGAAGCCAGTTAAACGTAGGTGAAGGCTACATCGGATTTCTATCTCAGAATCACGATGTTCAAGAATTAGTGGTCTTTTTTTTTCGAAAACTTGTTTTAAATTAGGCTTCAGTATTCAGCACCTTGAAAAATGCATCAGGCGTAATATACATGTGCGCAAAATAAATTATCATTTATTTATTAACAATCAAACAACTGGGCTGTTTGTGCTATACGACACTAGTTTGCAACCGAGTTTTCAATGCCTATGCACAGCAAAGAGTTACAGAAAGCTGAACCAGCGGTGAGCAAGCAGCAATGAAATTCATAGAGAATCTGTGGTAAAGTGAGTGAGTGAGTGAGTGAGTGAGTGAGTGAGTGAGTGAGTGAGTGAGTGAGTGAGTGAGTGACCACCCAACAGCATCTCGTGCTCCCCTCAGGGGCAATGTCCCATGCATTTATTCCCAAGATTGCGTAGTTCTGGGCACCTCCCTTATTCATCCCTTATTTGTTCAAGCATACTACTTCATTAAACTAAAAGATTCACAATCAGAACAGCTAATCGAGCAGGATGAAAAGTTGGGAGAGCTGTATTAACATATATGTGGGGATCTAATTATCTGCTAAATATGCATATCTGGGCCTTTTATTTTTTATCATTATTTGGCTTTAAGGCTAGTATAGTCTTTAAAACGTACAGCACAATAAAATTGAAATAAGTGAATTAAAATAAAAGTGCCTTCCGCACTTTTATTTTATTATTTTTTACACCAGGGGACTTCACATAGACAGGATGCAACGCCGCTTAAGATGAAGCTGCGAGCGCTACTGCGATTTTGGTGATCGACAGGCAGGCTTTTCTGAACGACCTTAGCCAGAACGCCTTTCCTGTGTGTGTGTTGTTTTTATCCTGCGTGTGCGTTCACTCTTTCCCTCTCGTTTTCTCACTCTTTCTCTCTATGAACACCCTCTTTCTTGCCTCCCCTCTTCCCGCTGGGTAGTGACCCGGATGCTAATATCTGTTCAACCTCTCGTCCTTCCTCTTCACCTTTCTTTCTCCTCGGCTTCAATCGTAAGTCAGCTTTTCAACTCCAGATGTCAGATTTAGATAAAATGAGTCGGCCTACAACCATGTAAATGCAGTATTTGGGACCACATTTTTTAAATGCGAAAGTGTTTTATGTCGGGGTCCACCATGGCTCCGCTGACGTATTTTCGTCACGAATATGATGGTGTGAAATTTATACTAACAGATTGTGAAAAAAAAATTACCGAGAAAGAAAGGTACTGTCACGTGACATCAAACCAGTGACCTCTCACTCTGCAGCGCGTAGCGCTAACAACTGTTTCTTCTGTATTTCAGGAATTACGACCTCTTCTCTCATTTTCTGCTGAAAATGTGTGCTAATTATTTGTGCTTGGAATCTGGCTGCGTCCTTTTGAAAGTACCAATACACGTCTACAATGTTCATCATTCCCAATTGTCTTTCGCTACTCTCTGATTGCAGCCAAGGCTATTCCGAACCTCCTACAGAATTACAGGGATGGGTGGAAACTCACGGCTGAACTAAACAACGCGGACGAGGTGAGATTCCAATGCTGCGGCACGATGCATGACTTTCTGATACTAAGCCATAATTGTTGGCATGTTTACCAATGTTTTGGTTCATATTCAATAAAGACGTGACAGAGGCAAGCGACTTTCCACAATTTATTTGTAGTTGCCTTAATTCGGCCTGTCATGATCGGGAATCTGCAACCATAACTCTATTTGCCTGATAATTGGAACTATATATTTAATATATGGTGCCCACATTGTCATCTTAACGCTTGAAATTTTTATGCAATATGAATAAAATTAAATTGTGATGCGTCATGTGTATGCTATGAACACCTGAAAAGGATATCGGTATTTTTTATTTGGTTGTTACAAATTTTACAAAGAACAGTACGACAAAAAAAAAAGGGGGGGGGGGGTGGGGTCATCGCGTCGGGACCGTAAAAAGAGAGGGGCAGTTTCGATTGCTCATTTTTTTACGCCCTCCTCGTGTCAGTTTTCTTTTTGTTTTATTTTTCTCATGCTATATAGTCAGGCAGACCAGCTTTCCACCACACTATATGCAGTTGCCGTCGTTCATCGAGTCACATCGGCGGTTGCCTACTTTTGCCTATTTCTCCAGAAACTGACGACGTACATGGTCGAGTACTACGACACGGAAACGAAGCAAGGCTTTCTGAGCTTCAAGCAGAACGGACTCGACGACTTGAACCTCTTCTACATCTCCGACACCTCGGAACTATTCGTTTACCAGAGTAAGCGCATCACCTTTAATAGCATCCACCGTGACGTCATAATAAGGGTGTGGTTGAAGTGGGTGTACTAGTTACGAAACGTCAATGACATTGGGTAACGAATAAGTGACTGTTGAAGGGAGAGTTTTATAGTGGTATAGAGAGAGAAGTGCCAAAACTTGGTAATGTCGCAGTCTTTGACCAATAGACGCGAGATAACACTTGATAATGCGACACGAGGTTCTGCGCGTGCTGTAGTCAGGTGACGACAGTGTTTATATTGCGGCCCCTGGCTCTTGAAAATAAATTCGAAAATAAATAAAGTTTAATGTTAGAGTAAAAGGTCACTGCTTATAAAAACATGTAAAATAATAATATTGTGCACGGCAGGGCTTAACTAAACAAGAAATGAAGGTAAACGTGGGACACAGATTGCGGCAGCAGTGGGACAAGGTGTATCAGTGCTTTAGTAGAATGAATCAACAGTGCTTACGCTATTCATAACAAAAAGTAAGTGTATTAAAAGACGCAATGAGATGGACTTGTTCGCTTCAGTCTCATTAACGCAAAAGAAAAAAAAAAGACTTCTTGGCGGTACCCATGAGAATGATACAAATTTCGTTTTCGCCATGCTGTGCTCCCCTAAAGGCGTTGCTCCGCTGTGCCGGCTCTAAAGTACTGACAGCAAAGCGCACATCGTGAATGCTACATTATAAACCCGATCACGTGGTTCGAATTGCGCCTGTGGCATGCACCGCTAAGACGTGGTTTTATTGCAAAGCAAGCACTTCCTTGCGCAAAACAGGGAATACGAGGTTTTCGGAACTTCATTTCAACAATCCATGCTGCCTTAATGTTTGCCTTTAGTGCCTCTACAAGCTTCATTTCTGCTCGTCTTCTTTTTTGCAGAAGGTTCTTGCAAGGTGATGGATGTGCAGAACCCACCCGATCCCGTCAAATCGCTCGTTCTTCGGTGGCGAAACTGGCGTCAGAATTCTACGATCCTGGGTCCTTCCGCACTCTTCGCGAGGGCTTGGCTAGCCCAGAGCAAAGAACTGGTAAGCGACACAACGCAGGCACAATGTCGAAAGTGCCGAACACGTTTTAACGCGATGGCATTCAAAGAACTTGTTCGCAGAAATCGCAGCATCGGCGTCGGTGTCGACGTGGGCGCTGTTGGTTGCGAGCGAAAAATCGTCATCTTCTGTGGTATACCTAGAATACGAGAAAGATGCAAATAAAATAAATAATAATTTTTGGGTCCCGGTGAGGATCGAATCCAGGCCGTTTCCGTGGTGTTCTCCCACAGGACACGCGTCTGCTTTTAGGCATACAGTTAACTTCCCCTGCTTGGAAATTCAATGAAAACAATCAACTTTCACGTTTTATACAAACACACGCATCCTGTGTACAGGTTCCACAATACAGCATTTAATATTGTAGTAATATTGCGTGTTACAAGCGTGCTTGCCATCGGGCATCATCAGAACATGTGGTCATCATAGCTTGGTGGTTTAAAGCGCAGCCACCCATTGCAAAACGCACACATGTTACGGCTCGTAATCTGTTAGGGCTCTCCGTATAGCAAGTTCGAAAACATGTGCGCATAACTATGCTCGTGCTTCAGAGCATGATAACCATTGTACAGAACGCAGTCATATGCGAAAATTTCACTGACACTGCAGCCACTTTCAACTCACAATTTAAACTTCTCGGGTAACATCCTACGATAAAAAAAAAAGTATGTTCTAAGTGATCGCAGAAGTCGCTAGGAACAGCGGATCACTATCACGTGACCCGCCATTAGACCCGCCGCGGTGGTCTAGTGGCTAAGGTACTCGGCTGCTGACCCGCAGGTCGCGGGATCAAATCCCGGCTGTGGCGGCTGCATTTCCGATGAAGGCGGGAATGCTGTAGGCCCGTGTGCTCAGATTTGGGTGCACGTTAAAGAACCCCAGGTGGTCAAAATTTCCGGAGCCCTCCACTACGGCGTCTCTCATAATCAAATAGTGGTTTTGGGACGTTAAACCCCACAAATCAAATCAACGTTCAATTCTTAAAATCGATGCTTAAGGGTCCTCTTTTCTTTTTTTTTCCTTTTTTTTTGAGGTTCCTGCAGTTCGCTTTGTAGCACGCACAGACCATCGCTGGCTGACGTGTCGCCCTGACGGTTGGCCACTTTGGGCATGTGCGAGCTTAGAATGACATCTACGAGTGCTGACTACATGTGCAGTTCTTCATCTTCTCCTGCGCATACAAATCATCGTAATCACGATCACCGTTTGACCCACTGGATGTTCTGTCTCTGGCTCGTACGCGTGTGTCGTAAATACAATAGTCGTTTTGTCGTACCTACAGATCTTCCGTGGTGAATACTGGGTCATCCCAATTTACACGGTACGTGGTGTTTAGCAAAGCCGTCAACAAGCTTTTAAATCAGAAATACGCAGAGGAAGTATCTTTTTACGCACCTTGGCCACCTTGCAACCAAAGCCTGCCAGTCGCGTTACTCGCTGTACGGAGACGCCCCGCCGCGGTGGTCTAGTGGCTAAGGTGCTCGGCTGCTGACCCGCAGGGCGCGGGTTCGAATCCCGGCTGCGGCGGCTGCATTTCCGATGGAGGCGGAAATGTTGTAGGCCCGTGTGCTCAGATTTAGGTGCACGTTAAAGAACCCCAGGTGGTCTAAATTTCCGGAGCCCTCCACTACGGCGTCTCTCATAATCATGTAGTGGTTTTGGGACGTTAAACCCCACATATCAATCAATCGCTGTACGGAGACTTGGCACGTACCTTGTCCTCGCACAAACTATGGATTTGAAACACTACGTTACTGCCTTCCAAGTGTGATGAACAAATGGAAACTAACAACTGATAATCTGCGTATATTGTCTAAAACTGAAATGTTAAATCGGATGCGCTGATTGCGTTGTAAATGAATGTTGGGTGATTTCTGTAATGGTTATTCAGTTTTTATTCTTTCATGCATTGCTTTGTTATGAATATTTTTGTATGTATTTTAGAGTTGTGATTCTAATATTTGCTGTCATGAGCCACATGCGTGTTTCTTTTTGTATTGTCGCTTTCCGCTGCCTGTAATGTTTGTAATTTTTTGTAAATTTGTAGTTTAGATTTTTTTTCTGGGTGAAGGGGCCAGTCAAGCTGTGAAATGCAGCTTTTTTCCCTTCGCACCAAACCACGTATACGTTGTATTTTCGTGTACTTGTCACGTGGTTGAATAAACTCAAACTCAAACTCAACTCAAGTTCTTCGGCAGTACTATACGTTGCGTTGCGCAGGGAACTAATCTGCTGAGCCTGATGCGTTGCACAGATTTGGTGCCATTTTTGTCGAGGAGGGGTTTTATGAGCCTCCATCCACTACCTTTCTGTGTCTGCCCGTTGAGGGAGTTGCAAACTTCGTCCCACCGCCGTCGGCAAAGAACCACGCAGTATTCTTTGATGGTTTTGTTGAGCTCGGCGAGCTTCTATCGCAGTCTTTGATTGAGTCGTTCACCCTTCCAGTACGGTTAAAGGGGTGACCCCTTTAAGGACCGCACCCTTCCCTATCTATCTATTAATAAACATATTTCAGTCACTCAGTTATACACTATAAAAGCGATCATGCCGCAATAGGCTGGTCACTCACAGGCGAGGGCACAGTTATCCATTGGAGTCGCGAAGCGTCACACATTCTTTAGAGGCATACGCTATAGTTGTAATAAATCAACGTAAGGAATGTGGTCGTGCAAGAGGACGACAAAGATTGAAAATTTTGCGCGCTTGGCAGCATTCAGTCTGAACTGGTGGCAAATCACGTGACCACCGCTACGCTGTCTCGCATGCTTTGATAGAGTGGATTTACTGGGACTTTCACTAAGGAGGAACGCGCTCCTGCGAAGTCCCCTCTGTGAAGACCAAATATTGGCCATCCAAAGTGTCCGTGAATGGAGCGACAGGCTAGGCCAGTCGGTCCCGTCGTGGAATGAACCGGGTGCGCGTTTTATCACATTTTGCTGGACCTGATAAGTTCGCTCACTCAACTCACGTCATGCGAGGTGCTCGCCACAAGGTCATTTCCCGTGACGGAATATAACGTGATCTCGCTTTGACCAATGAGGCGCAACATTGCGCTTTCTAGCGGCGGACAGCTGTGGGACTTTGTCAAGCTGCCTCTTTCGGGAAGCACCTTTTACACCTTGTTAGGCGAGTTCGTTCATTCTTAACGAGCTTATGGCGCGAAAAAAAAAAAACATAAGAAGGACGAGCGCAAGGCCTTCTTTCGTCATGTTTTTTTTTTCGCGCCTTAAGCTCGTTAATAGCTTTTACCTACAGCTGACCTTCATCAAACTACTGATGAAAAGTAAAACATTATATTATTATTATTATTATTATTATTATTATTATTATTATTATTATTATTATTATTATTAGTAGTAGTAGTAGTAGTAGTAGTAGTAGTAGTAGTAGTAGTAGTAGTAGTAGTAGTAGTAGTAGTAGTAGTAGTAGTAGTAGTAGTAGTAGTAGTAGTAGTATTAGTAGTAGTAATATTATTGCTTACTTACGATGCTACGTGAGCTTGCGAGCCAATGACAGAGACTGGTGCGCTTACAGTTTCGTTTTATAATGGTTTTCATGGCGTCCATGGCACTGGAAGATCTCATTTCTTTAATGCACAACTGTCGAACGAAACAACCCTTCGTAGCAAGTCGCTTTAGTCATATGTTCGTTACATTTTCCGAAAAATGTAACCAATAATCCCGCTGGTGTACAGGACCCACATGGCAAACTATAACCGCTTTTCTTATATCGTAAGGAAATGATGTCGTATGAAAACGTGGACATTGTCAAAGAACGGCTATAGCTACTTTCGAACGAGGGCACAAGCTTATTACGCTACTGTTTTTTTTAATTATTAATAGGAATATTATTAAAGCCTAAGTAGCGCTACCATGATTTTAACTCGGACGGACGCAATCTGCGCAGTATTACCAAGGTCCGGCTGAGCCAATACGAGGGATTAAAAGCATGCAGTGGGCCGCCTGCTACCCTGAAGACGACGAGCCGACGCGGGTTTGGTTTGCAGGTGACCTTTTTTTTTTATTTTTTAACGCATGAGTGTATGTGTCTCTGCTTCGAAGATTCGCGATGCGGTGTATGAAGCCGGGTGACGTAAACGTTGGCCCAGTATTCAGAACGAGGTCGGCGACACAATTTTCATGGTGGACTGTTGATTGACTACAGCCGAGCACAACTTTCGGAAAGCGTGCTTGTCTACTTCTCTACCTCAAAGACGGATGTGCAAAGGTCTGCACCAACGAACACATGGTTCAAAGGGGCGCTAAAGATTAGCAAAACAATTTTTCGCGTATGGCAAGCAAGTAGTAAAGTACGATTCCATGGTACGATTTTGCAGTCCTGAGAACACCACTATTACCACGGCACGACGCTTCAGTAAACGAAAAAGCACGCGAGAAGAAAATTTGGGGGGGGGGGGGGGGATGCCACCTTGAGATTTCCAAACTAAACACCATGAAGTCACAATTTTGAAGGCATATACTGGGTCTTACGTAGCTTCTAATCGATAAAATTGAAAATCATTGTCATCGATAAGTGCCGTGGACCTAGTATAAGACAGTTCAAAAAATTTCATGGAGCCAATGTCGCGAAAATACGACAAATAGATTTTGCAAACTTCTTACTGTCCTGCGTGGAGATTTGGGCGCGAAATTTAAAAATAGAACTTTAACCTCGATTTTTTTTTTTCGCAAATAACGAACGTATGATAATGAAACTTATGGCATTGCAGTTCTGAGAGTGCAGTTTATCAATTTAGGTCAAATCATTGTTTTTCTTTATTGTCATAAACCGGATTGAATGTAACACCGTTGTCGGAGAACTCCACTAAAGTAGTACATAAGTGGGACGATTTCTTGTTGTGAAGTCAAACAACAGGCCCGCTTCAGTCATCTGGGTGCGGTCTCTCCAGTCTTATTAAGTGACGTAGGTAAGAATAGGCGGGTGGCACTTGTTTTACGCTTCCTACCTTTACAATACATTTACAGTTACGCTTGATACTATACTTTTAGGAACATGGTGCCAGTAGCAGCATGCTCAAATGTTTAAAACTTCATGCTCAACTGTTTGTCTAGAGCTTTACCTGACGCGCCTCTCACTATCAATAACTCGCCCTTTCATGCTAACACCACAACAATTTTACAACGTACTGTCATGATATATGGGCAGGAATACCGAAATTGTATTTTAAAGGCAACAGCACCTAAACGTGTTCAACACGTGCAAAAGCTGGTCATGTCACTAAGTACTCACACGTAAATGTATTTGTTGCAATGCAATAATAAGTCACATTCATATCGGTACGTTACACGTAATCGCCGACTGTACAAAAGCGAATTCAGTGTTCCAGCTCATATTGCTCGCGTCAGTACGTGTCGTGCCTCATTTCAGATGCCATCTGGGAAATGGGCTACGGTACGGAGAAGTCCTTGCCTCTCAGGATTACCACTGGACCGCATACTATCGATATCATGATGATGCAACCTTACGTGAACGACGACGATGACGTTTTGAAAGTAAGTTACTTTCACTGACATGTAGGAACAGTGGTGCTGCTTACGCTTCTGTGCAGTTTTATTCTAAAATCATATTTCTGTTAATCACAGTGCATATTTTTCTTTTCTAATTATCATTGTTAATGCAAGTAGTAGTAGCATTTACGTGCCAAAATCGCGATAAGGTAATCAGTGGCGCTGCGGCATATGGGAGAGCGAAATAATATCGACCAGCTGGGGTTCTTCATTCTGCTCCTAAATCTAGGAACATGAGTTCTGTTTTGCACTTCGACTTCATCAAAATGTGGTGACCAATGCCAGGAATCAAGGCACTCCCTCGGGTTGTAGTAGTAGTAGTAGTAGTAGTAGTAGTAGTAGTAGTAGTAGTAGTAGTAGTAGTAGTAGTAGTAGTAGTAGTAGTAGTATCGGCGGCAGCAGCAGTGGTGGTAGTGGTGGAGGCAGCGCTGTTATGAGAAAAAAGTAATCAGCAGGCTGGCGACTGCCATTCAAATGACCGGAATCAGACAAAACTTTTCAGTATTGTAGTATATCCATGTTCTCTTTCATCACGTTTTTTTTTTGTCTTTCCTTGTCTTGCACTGTTAAGTTCAGTAATGAACCAGGTGGTCGAAATTTCCGCAGCCCTCCGCTACGGCGTCTTTCATAATCATATGGACGTCTTAAGACGTTAACCCCCCCCCCCTCCCCCCTGATCGATCATCAAGTCAGTTCAGTAATGAAACTTTATCCGTCTTCTTTCTGCATGTCCCTTTGTTCTAATCTTTTTCCCCCTGTCTGTGCAAGATACCAACGGGAATGGGATGCAAACGCTTGGCTAAAGATCTTCCGATGCCACCTAATTTCTCGAACCTGGACCTTGAGTTTCACGTCGAGATGGCTTTCACCAATCCCACGCTGCTTGGCCCGGACCACTATATATCGCATTTAGAAGTAAGTTACCTGTGTTTGGCTCACCAGACATGCTACCTCGTGTGTGTATGTTATGTTTCCTTGTGTTATATTGGCATTCCAGTGTGTTGTTGAGGCGAAAGCCTAACATCGTATGAAACGCGAAAATCGCCCGAGGTATCTCATCGGCGCCTACGTGAGTGTTGCGAAAAAAATTATCACGCGATAGCGTCATTACATGACATCGCCGCTTGCTCGAAGGTGCTCTGATCACGAAGGTAGTGCAAAACCAGGTAAGGTGCAAAGAGCTTGAAACGCTTCCGATCTTGAAGGCAGAGCAAAACCAAATAAACTGCAGAAAGCCTGAAACGCCTCCGATCTTGAAGGCAGTGCAAAACCAAATTAGTGCAAAAAGCTTACAAGGTCTCTGATCTTGGAGGCAATATAAAACTACATTAAGTGGGGGAAAGCCTTCAATGGTTGATGGGGTACAATCAATACATCCACTGGGAAGAAAACGAAGGTGGCTTTTTTCGCCTTCCGGTCATATTAGGGAATGTATTATGGATGGCTTTCTGAGTTAACTTTTCACCATGTTGCAGTAGTTTCTTGTAAGATTCGGCTTGTGGTGTCTTTACTCTGTCTTAATTTGAGTGCGTTTGACATTGTTCGCCTATGTGTAAAGAGTGATTATGAATGCCTACGTGTTCTTATGTGCAAAGACGCGCTCTGCGTCCAGTTGTTTCCTCAAGCGTTAGAGACTTCAAACACCTGTAATCATTGTACATATCTCCCTGCTTGAAAATAGTGACTGTGGAGTCCATACGAAGCGCCTCTTCCCTCCTCCTTCTCCAGCTCATGCCACAGCACAGATGCAACCCGCAGGTCTACCGTCTTGCATCGGCAGAAAGTTTTCCTGACAGTTGACAAATTTCTCTGCCAATTTCTCTTTTTATTAAGGTGATACGAGATGACAGGGACAGTATCCTGAGTGTAATCGGCGCAGACTGGACGGCGGCTAAGAAGAACACTGGATCTTCCATCGCGAATTTGCAGTGGATCTACGACTACGCCAATGGTAAGAGCGATCGTTCAGGCATAAGCATGGACGTCCTCATTGCTCGCTCTTCATTGGCGGGGTGAAGGGTTGCAAAGTTTTAAACTCCCCCCTCTTCTTCCCTCATTACGCACGCCTATGGGGAAAATGTAAATTCTTCTAGAGGCCTGGGAACTCCCTCACGACGCGACGAGGGCCTCTGGCTCAATTAAACCGCACATTTTTTTGATCAGGTCACCCTTTTTTATTGTCGTTGGTGCTGGACTACTGAACCCGAAGGTCGCGGCTTCAAATCCCTGCCGCGGTGGTAGCATTTAAATGAAGACTAAATGGAAAAGGCCCGTGTACTTACGTTTAAGAACATCAGATGGTCTAAATCTCTGGAGCTCCCTACAGCAGCCTCTCTCAAAATCATTTCGTAATTTTTGGGACGTAAACCACCAGCAATTACTATTATCCTGTGCAACTTCCAAGTTAACATTCATGGTGATAATACATTAAAGTAAATCACACGATAACAAAACAACTTTTAGCAGCAGTGATTTTCATTTCATCCTCTCATGTCCTTGTTCGCGATTGTCACAAATATATTCTGTATATCAAACTTCGGTGCAACTGTAGCACTTGCAAAATCATAACGTACGAAACGTATACGTTATGATTTCTCGCACGTATGATGTATCTGCGACTAAGTCGATGCCTTAGATTTCAATTCTCCTATACCAGTGTCACACAAGTGACTTCCATCGCGATCAGGGCAAATCTGGATTAGACTCAATCCACATTAGGTGCTGTTACACGGTCACCCTTAATCGCGATCAGGCCCGATCGGGATCAAGGCGATCACGATCTGCGCATCGATATGTGGCTTCCGGATCACGATTGGACTGATGCCTGCGTGAAGCTCGATCTTGATTAGATTGCGCCGAGTAGCTACGTTGATCATTGATCGCGACAAAGAAATCCGAACCGGATCGATACTGATGGTGACCAAAAGGACCCGCGCGACACCAGTATTAGCAGACCTAAGTTCGTTGGGTCTAAGAAATCGATTTGATGATATGTGGGGTTGAACGTCCCAAAACCACCATTTGATTATGAGAGACGCCGTAGTGGAGGGCTCCGGAAATTTCGACCACCTGGGGATCTTTAACGTGCACCCAAATCTGAGCACACGGGCCTACAACATTTCCGCCTCCATCGAAAATGCAGCCGCCGCAGCCGGGATTCGAACACGCGACCTCCGGGTCAGCAGCTGAGTACCTTAGCCACTAGACCACCGCGGCGGGGCGGGTCTAAGACCTCGGACAACTTGCGTGAAATCATCACTTACCTGCAGGTCACACCTACAGCTACGTCGACCGCAGCGGAACGTACGGATGCAAGGTAGACGCGCAGGACAACGTCCGACCCGTGGTTAAACTTCCGGACAAAAATGAGGTCAACATGATGGACACCATACTGCCCACGTACGACGTACTCAAGAAAGCAAGCTACCTCGGCATCGTGAGTGTGAAAGTTGGAAGACGCGAAACTCAGCCAGCTCGTGTTTTAGTATGGTAGAAAGGAAAAAAAAAAGGTACGACACAATCAAATGAACACGACAAAAAATTGGGGCATGGAAAGCATTGGGGACATTAATTGTTGTATTTAACTGTATAATAGAAGAACTGGCGTAAGTTGAAATGGATTAAAGTGGACCAAAAGGCGTGCTTTTCGACGATGGGATCCGAAGGAAAAGTTTATTCAAATTTGGAAATTGAGGGTTTGGATCCCATCAGCGAAAAAGGTGATTTTTAGTGCACTTCATTTCATTTCAATTTATGTTATTACTTTTATGTTACAAAAAAAAACAATTATTGACCAACGATGACCGACAATTGTTGACCTGGCCTGACTCTTCTCTCTTGGATTTGTGCCATACTATATTAAGGTTGCGTTAGTGATTGCCATTTACCATCATTCAATATGTTGTTGATGATGATGATGACAATGGTGATGATAAAAATGTTAATCACAATGATGATGATGATATCGTTGACAATGATAATGACAATGATGATTATGACAATGATAATTATAATGATAATAATAATAATTATAATTAGGAGGATAATGATGATGATGGTGATAATATTGATGATGATGATGATGATGATGATGATGATGATGATGATGATGATGATGATTATGATGATGATGATGATCTGGGCTATCTTCAGTAATTTTCAGGCCATCTTAGCGAGTTCTGGTGAAGTCGTACAAAATTAGACCGCGGTACGTATTGCGGCACGATTCCGTCAATATATACTTTGGTGGAAAGGTCAAGTTCGAAGCGACGGAAAATAAACACGATAAACGTGGGCTCCTCGTACGGCAGCTCAACGATTCTGATTCAGGACAATGTATGCGAGCATCCATTAGAAGAAAAACATGTCCACCACATTTGCAACTGAGCCATAGAAGAGCCTCGCACAAACAGTGCAATCACAAGCGGTTCGAACTGCTCACATACAGCCAAGTATTGATGTTACGGATTGCACGAAATGCATAGTTTATTGTTATTATGATGCTGCCACCATTTAGTTACGCCGCTGATTGATACTGTAATTAATCAACTAATGAATATTATATAATTGACAGCAAACCGTCCGTGGAATGCCCGTGCACACCTACGAGTTGGTGACGGATCCAATGCCAGTGGGGGGTGCTCACCTTATGTACGCTGTGCTGATCTACAGCTTTCTTGCGGTAAGATCACTCAAACGTGTGTTTCTGAAGCATGCCATGCCAATAATGACCATTCCTGATGCCCTGCCCCGATGTCTTCCTGCCTGGTTCACTTGTATGCTGTCTTCCCTTCGCTCGTCACTTCGCTCGACGCTGAAAGGTTCATCGTTAATACCTAAAAAAATACGTTTGACTGAAGGAGACTTCTGAATTCCCGATTAAATTTACAAGGCCAAGTTTGCGACCTAAAACCAGCGATACAAGCGTGAGATAGTATGGCAAAGCCATCTATCTGAAACGTTACATAAACGATGACGATAGTTATAGCGCGAGAACAAAACGACGACACAGAGACAAGAAGGACACGAAAGACACGAGCGTTCGCGTCTTTCGTGTCCTTCTTGTCTCTGTGTCATCGTTTTGTTCTCGCGCTATAACTATCGTCATGCCATACCAACTAGCCCAAGCTGCCACACTTCTAAGTTAGATAAACGCCTGACGTCAAGAAAATGAATAAGCGCCATCGGATGGAGCGTTTATGCGAAATCTTTGTGTGAGTGACAGCGATGGCTGATGGTGGAGTTAATATTTCGGCCTACGTTGTAAGCAAGTGGTTTTTGAAGAAGAGGAAAAGGGTGCTAATTTCTGTCTTCCTAATTGGCTTTGACGCTGGAAAGCGTCGGAGTACAAACGCTTCACGACCCCCTTCCCCCCTCCTCCCTCGCTGCTAAAGCCCCTGATTTTATTCAGAGGTTTTACTGGTTACGGGCCACGCTGACACCTTAATTGTGGTAGTGGTAGAAGATGGCAATGCCAGAATTTCTTTCAGCTATGACGCACTCGATTCCTCTTATGTTTTTTGTCTTACTTCAGGAGGACGCTATCATGGACACATCGGTCAATCAAAGGAATCTGCCGATCCGTGTCGCCATGTATGCCTACGTTAACAAGATGACTCAGGTACGGAAAAGTTTGCAGCAATTTAGATTCACAAAATAGGGCTTGTTTCAGCTACCACTTTCCCCTGAACTTCTGCCTTATAATTATCTGAGAAGGACTTGAAAATTATGGCGCAAAACTATAATTAAGGCAAAGCGTGAGCCGGTCCATTGACTATAGTTCAACGTAATCGCTGTGAAGCCTTACACGGCCATGGCATCCAATTCTCGGTCGCAATCTGTGTTGCGTAGAT